AAAGTGTTGCTTATATTATTGACAATAATATAAACAACACTTTTTTATATTTTAATTATAATTGACATCGTTCAAAATCTATATTTTAAAAAATATATGTATATATACATATATATATATATATGCATACGTACATATATATATATATATATATATATATATATATATATATATATATATATATATATATATATATATATATATATATATATATATATATATATATATATACATATATATATATATATATATATATATATATATATATATATATATATATATATATATATTAACATTTTTACGAGCTTTGGGCTAAATTCTAGACAAAAACAAACACGTACTTTTTAAACTTTTAAACATTTTCCTTATATTACGCTCAATTGCTTTATTAATCTGATTTTTTTCTAATTGCTGCGTGTAATTCATTAATTTGCATATGTTTCAAGATTTATATGAATATTTTCAAGAGTTTATAAAATGCTTATAGAAATATTCAGAATAGTTTATTATTAACAATTTTTAAACTGTGAGGTTTTTTGGAATAAATTGTAGGTAAAATATATCCAAAAGCTGCATAGTATCTTCATCAAGTTCTTGGACATTTTTTTTGTACGGTTTTCTTATGCTGGTGATGTAGGGAAGTGTACAGAAGAGTAAAATGCGTCCTCATTTGTAGCTAATCTAGAATATTTTCTGGAATGATGAAAGCGAAATTTTTTATAATCTTTATTACGGTTTTTTGCGCTTCTGAAAGGTGACCAATAGACAGTAAAGCAAAATATTTTATGATTTTTTCTCCGTGAAGTAAAGTTTTGTGTACTGAAGACGGTATATAGTACCAGCTATAATTACTCACATAAATAAGGGCAGTTTCTGTAGGATATGTACCAAAACTTTCAGCATTTATCATAACACCTCAGGAGAGAGCTAGAATTATTTTAAGTCGTTTAATCAAATTTTCATTTACTTCAGTAATATCAGAAGAGCAGCTTGCATTGTAAAAAAATCTCATTAAAACGTTTGTGTTTTCCATAAAACATATGGCAGAGATTTTTTTTCCTTTTTTGGCTTAATGCTTCCACAAGCTTTACTTCTGTTTCTTCTCCTATTAAACGTAATGCGTGAAGATTTGCATTAAAGATGTGCTCAAACCCAATTTTCTTAACTAACATGGAATTTTTCTTTTTTTACTGGTCTTTGACAAATCTCCATATTACATGCACGGTCTTCCACGTTTTTCAAATGATGTAGATGGCGTGGGGTCAAATTTTGAGTTTATTGATTTCGGTAAAAATACACTATATTCAGAATTTAACCGATTGAACCCGTCATTTCGAAAAGGGCACAAGTCACACTTTTTTCAAATTTCATTTTTTAATGCAATTTTATTTATTCAAGTGTTTTACATATTCCCTTTGAAGGAGAAACATTTTCATATGCCACAAGTCAACTTTAAATGCAAATGAAAATTAAAGTCTGTTTGAAAATGGCACAAGTCCCGGACTTATGCCTTTTTCAAGTGAAGCGAAGCGCAACTGTAGTGACGTAATTTCACTTTATTTGTAACAAAAATGGAAAATATCGAACTTGCTGAAAATGCATATAGATCTAGAAAAAGAGTGTCTGGTATAAGAAACAGTGGAAATTTTAAACACAAAAAAATAAAAAAAAGCCAAAATTGCTGGAGAAGCTTATAAAAACCACAAAGAAAATGATGAGGCACCAAGTCAAACGGGTGCTTCTTGCAGGTTAGATTTTTGTTCTTTAGAGTATGACTATATTCGTTCTCAAATTTATGCTTATTTACTCATGTTTTACCACCAATAATTGGAGGTAAAACATCTTGATATATAATTATTATAATATTACCTCAATAATTGTATTTATTTAGAGATGTAATTCAAAGTGTATGGAGCTTGTATCTGAAGATTTTATAGAAAGTACAATTCAGTTTGTTAACAAACTTGATTGTAAAAATGCCCAAGACACATACTTGCAGTCATTGATTGAAAAGAGGGAAATAGAGAGAAGATGATTTAGATCTAAAGAACCTAAGAAAAAAGAATTTTTTTTTATTTATCACATTAAGATTGAAGGTGTGATAAGAAAAGTAAGCAAGAAAGGTTTTTGCTGTGTGCATGAAATTTCTATAAAACAAGTTAGACGTTTATGAATTTTATTCAAAAAAAAAAAGAGCAGATTACAGAGGTAAGTCTCAGTGATCACGATGCAACGCATTACCTGGAGATACATTAACAAAAGTACGTGAGCATATCCAAACGAAGTATGTACCTTTGTGCTGAATTATATTTTTAAAAATAATGGCAACGAAGCCAAAGAACTGCACCTATTTTCTGATGGTTGTGCAGGCCAAAACAGAAATCATGCCACGGTCCGAATACTTTTATCACTGGTAGCTGAACTAGATAGCAATATAAATGAGATACAATATTACGTACCAAAAAAAGGTCACTCATTCTTGCCAAACGATAGAATGTTTGGAACAGCAAAGCGACATTCGAAAAAATGATCGGATTTACACACCAACAGAGTATGAAAATCTTATAGCTGAAGCAAGCGAAAAATTTGAAATTAGAAGGCCCAAAACTGAAGATATTATTGATGCAAAAAAATGGTGGCCAAACCATTATAAGAAACTTGTGTTATCTTTGGATTCCTATGGAAAAGGAGTACTCAAGGACAAAAAACTTACTTTTGGTATTTCTAAAATCTCACATTTCACATTCTCTAATACCACAGCAGGTTTAGTGAAAACACGTGAATCCATAGATTGCTTAGTCAGTTATAATTTCCAGCTGTTACCAAGGATGGGTACCCGGTCAACCTTACCATTAAGTAGTATTCCTGTATATGTTGGAAAATTACCTATAAATGAAACAAATATATCAGATTTGAAAAAAATATGAAAAAATATATTCCATATTCAATAGAAGAGTACCAAAACTTCTATACAAAGGTTTTTGCTTCGCCAACAACTTCGGCAAACAATAAATTCCAAGAAAAAAGTGATGATTACTAACAATAATTGTTTTTATGTAATAATAAATCGTTATTATTCTGATAATCTTTGGTTTTTTATATACAAAAAAGCGTTCATTCCGAAAAAGACATAAGTCCATAAATTTAAATTAGAAATATATGTGTTATATATTATTTTTTTATAATAAATAAAACTCTAAAAACTTATGTATAATTTTTATTTATCTACTCTTATCTTTAGTTTCTTTAGCACCATAGACTTTTTTCCTAATAAACTTATTTTTGTTTGATCCTGAAAAGTTTGAATAAATGGACTTGTGCCCTTTTTCGAAATAACGGGTTCAATTACTGTTGTTAGATAAAAAAGCTTTCGCTTTCCTTGACGCCTTGGTCCATAGTTTATTAAACGACAGAATAATGTGCCTTTGAATATCACTAACAATGAAACAGAAGCTATCTTTAGACACTTGATAATTTTCTTTTAAAATTATTCAGTGTCTCAATTAACCTACCTTCATCAATATAAGAAAGTAACAGTTTACATTTCGAAGCCTTAAAAGTTTTCATTTTAAAAAGTAACCAAAGTATCTCATTTCTAATGTAAATTTGTTGCAGTGATATAAATTTTTCAAATCTTTATATATTATTTCTTAAATAATGCAGTGTTAAGAATAGAATGCCATGTCAAAATTGCTGATAACATTTTCAACACAAAATGCAAAAATAATAGAATACATGTCTATCGAAACTAATTCTCAATAAAAAAACTGACAAAAAAACATACGCATAAATATTGTTATAAAAAGATACTGTCTGAAACCACGATAAAAAGTTGTACTCTGAATTTCATCACTTTTTTATTTATACTTTTGGAAACCACAGGTATCCGCACCTGATTTTTAATAAATCATTTTTATAGACAACTAAATTACAAAAATGAAGTGTGGGGAAGCGTGGGTGACTGCCAATAAAATCGGTGAACTTTAAGATTTTTTATTTTATGGTATCTTTTTGTAGTACTATTTTCTACAGTGCATTGGATTTGTTGCACTTAAGGCTCAAACCACTGCGTCACAACTGCTCAAATATTTCTTCCCTCAACGTTAAGATAAAAACACAAAACTAAAGATAACTTTTTTTTAGGAAACTTGCAGAAGACTAAATTGATACATAAAAAAGTTGGAAAAATTTGTAAAAATTATCTGAATATAAAATGTTTATGTCAAAAATTGTGTTTTATATATACTACACTACTGGTACTGTTGACTAAGTTAATAAAAAAAGTGCAAAAAAACTTTATCTTAATTAAGGAATTTTTCCGAATAATCTTGTGTAGGTAGTTTAAAAATGTGAACTTGTTCGATAACTATGTGAACCTGTTTAATAACTATGTGAACCTGTTCGATAACTATGTGAACCTGTTCGATAACTAGAAATGAAACTAGATGAAAATTTTAAATCCGATAAAATCAAAATTAACATGCCAACTTATAAAATTATTTGAAGTGCTTTATAAAACATTTTTTTCAGATTGAATTGCTTAAGAGAGATTTTCAATACAAACAAGATAACACTGGTATTGTTATATTGAAGAAGACGTAGAAAATAAAAAAGACGTAGAAAGTAAAAATTAGGTAAAGGAAACGGAATTTCAAAAACTGATTGGCTTTCCCCTTTCATTATTTTAACGCGCTACATTATATTAGGACTAATTTGTGGTAAAACTATTTAATATTTTATTAAATCATCTATAAAAATAAATGTTTTTTTATAAATATTTTTATTTATTTAATAATACTAACTTTATAGTCACGTAATTAAAACACATATTAATTTATGAAACATATATTAATTTATTATATTTATGTGATTAAAATCTTCACTTTTAAAAATGAAATAAAACTAATAATTTTAATTATTCAAGAAAACTACTTATTAATTAAATATTTATACTATTTATTGTATAAGTATAGTATAAACAAACGAAACAAACAAAAATCTTTAAAAATTTAAGATTATATTAAATGAATTAAAAAAATACGATAAATTATATACAATCAACTGGAATACATAGTAAAAAATAGTGTATAAAATTTTTTTTTTTTAAATTCATGTTAGAAGCTATCTTCACAATCGTGGACGATTACGTCACATACTTGGTGTCTATTATTGAATCACAAAAACTAAATCTTATTCAATTTACCTTCCTTCGGATTAAAACAAATAGATTTACCTAAAGGGTTGATTATTATTATTGGCATTTGTTTGGCTACATTATTTGATATCACGTACTTTTTCGTAGCTATCTCAGAAAAAAGAATAGATACCATGTCGAAAAGTGACATATTTTTTGCGTGTTTTTTTGATATTTTGTATAATGCTTGAATGAACCATGAACCGTGATTGGGTTGACGAATAGATACAGTACCTAAAGAAAGTTTTTTTAAATATTCTGATTAATATTGAAAATAACAAGGAAATTAAAGTTTAACCCTTTTAAAAAAAGTTGCCATAGTCAAATGAGAATTAATATTTAAAAAGTTGAAAAGTTTGAAAAATTTATCTCTATATAATAATGCTCAACCTAATAGTGTTAGCAGTAACTACAAAATTAAGCCGCGTTTATTAGATGTTGTTCTTTGTGAAACTAAAACTATTTTTTTATGGATTTCAACTCGATTCATCAAACTCTTTTGTTGGTCAGCCTCTTTTTGCTGATTCATTTATTAAAACCTTTTGGTTAACTTGCGATTCAACTAAATTATTTGTTTTAAAAACTGACTTAAGTCAAACCTGATTTCCACTATCAAATATATTTTTTTTCAATATGATGCATACCATAGTGCAACATACTTTGCAAGAGTTAGCTGGTTTATCTTTTTCAAAATAAATTTTATCTGAATTAAATCTATGTCGCAATATATTAAAACCTACTATCTACATTATCAAAAGTATTTCTCGAAATCTGAAAACATTGCAGAATTTATCTTCCTCCATTTTCTTAGTTTTAGGTTTTTAGTAGGACATCAAAAATGCACTTTAGAATATATATTTTTTCAAATTAGTTACGAGCTTTAAAACTGAAAACACTTGAAATTAAAATAAAAATTAATTTTTTTCTTTTCAAGAACAACACAAAAACAAATTCACTTTAGTTTTTCCAACTTAAAAGAAGTGTGTGTGTGTGTGTTTGTCAGTCCGGTTAGAATCTTTGATTCTATATTAAACCCACTACCCGACTAGCTAGAGATCTGAAACTTTCAGGATAGCTCAGAACCCAATGACAATGCAATTTAAAACTATATATATTTCTCTCAATTTTAACAAAATGATTAATAAATGAGTTCAATACTTTTGCAATTCTTTTGTTACATAACTCTGCTGAATTCTTTTGTTACGGAATTCTAACTATAAGTATAAGTATAAAATAATTTGTAACGGACAAAAAAAAATTTCAAATAATTCAGCACACATATTAAACAAAAATTTAGTAAGCAAGTAAATAAAAAAATATTTCAAATAATTCAGCACGCGTATTAAACAAAAATTTAGTAAATAAATAATAAATAGTGTAAGTGTTAAAAACAAACAAATCTAAAAAGTAAAAAATTATATACAAAAAAAATGAATTTTTTCTAAAAACAACGTTTTTTCAAGTGAACTAAAAGTAAAAAACAATTTGTCTTTGAGCTTGTCAGAATGTCTGATTATATTCTTCTTATAATGATGATGATAATAATGATTATATTCCTCTTATAATTTTATAACAAATTTGATACACGAAAAACGTTGGGCGCATGTTGCTTTGAATGACTGCATTCACTAAAGCTGTCCATATCTGTCTGAGTCCTTGCGTACCACCTGAGGTGTTAAAGAAGTTAATTTAGTCCAATGCCTGCCAACTCCCGATAAATATGTGTAATTTTATCCGCAAAGCATTGTGGGATGTCTAGCGGGACCAAGTAATCACAAACAACGCAACTCTTAGTGAAATATTTATTTGCATTATTCTTACCAGAGGGCTTCCCATAAAAAAACTTTTCTTTTATAAATTAAAATAATTTTAAAACTATTTCATAATATTGCTAATATAACATTTATATATAATCTATCATTAATATGTTGACGCAGGTGTAAATTTGATGTAAATTTAACATGTTTTGCATAAATTATTTTAATCATGTTATCACTGTATTTGTTTCATATTAGTTTAAATATATACCCCATATTAGTTTAAATATATACCCCTTAATTAGATGCTAAATATATAGTTGATAATACTGAGAGAAAAAACAACAACATTAAATATCTTGTTTCAAAAATTATCATTAAAATAAAATCAAGCATGGATAATGCGAGCTAACTTGTTTTTACATGTCTTGATATTCTCATACAAACATAGTGTCTGATTAAACTTTCTTCTAAATGAAAAGCATGATCAAAATATTCATCATAAAGAAATGAAAAATTGCAATCGTTTTTTATTATTTTATTAATTTGTTGTATAATATTTTTTTTAGTTAATATAAGTTTCATTTGCATTATAAAAACAGTTTCCATTTCGTGAAGTAGGTTTAGTAAAAAAGAATCAGAATTAAATAAGTTACTTTCACAGGGTGTCACACTTGAAAGAACTTTTTTTTGCACATTTTTGACAGACTTGAACTTTCTTTATCAAATTATCTGCAATTATTTTAAAAACCTGTTTAATTGACTGTGAAACTGAATCAGTTGAAACATTTTGTAATGCGTAAGGTTTTTGTTTGTTTTTAAATAATTTTGATTTAAATATTGCTGATTTAAACTGCATTGCTGTTGGTCTGTCATTCCAGCCTCCTTTGCTTCGTACTAATTCAAAAAAAATATATAAACAGTCCTGATTAAATTGAACTGTGCAAACATAAAAAAAATCCTCATGAAGCAACTTGTTTGCAAGACAAAGATTATTAAAAATAGTGACATCTAAACCCCAATGACTGGATATACTTTTTTAGCTGCGAGCACCAGTAAAATGCCAAACCTTAATCCAAACTTTTAAATTTTTAACCTTTTGTATAAAACTGCTATTTAGAGTTAAAGCAGAGCATGTTGATTTATCTGCTTTTAGTTTACGAGAATTTAAGATGTCAAATAAAATATCCATATTTATAATAAAAAAGGCTGTTGACAAAACATTTTCAGGCAATAGTTTTGCAGAAGCGTATTCAGTCAAAGCAGTAGCAACTTGACTACTAAAAACTTGCGTTGCCAGTTTTACTAGCATGGCTAATAGTAATCTTGGATCTAAATGACAATCTGTCAACTTTGGCACAAGTCGCACAGCATTAACCTTGTCTAAATTAGTTCCTCCAGATGCTTCCACAATATTATTTTACCATCAGATAAAATATCATGTTTTATTAAATTGTTTCTAACATTTTTATAAGATGTGGTGAATCAAATATTATATAAACTTTTGCTCCTGTAGTTGGATGTGAAATTTGTTGTTTTAATAATAAAAATCCTAAACACTTGAGAGCTCTTGTTGACAAATCTTAATTTGAGATGATAAATATTTATTCTTAAAAGTAGTTTTGACAGTTACATTATTTGTACTGCTATTCTCAACACTATTTAATTTAATTCAACTTTATCGTTGATTTCTTTTTTTTGTATTTTCTTTTGTAAATGAAGTCTGTTTGTAGGCTGTTTTTTCTTAAATTAAAGGTAGAAGGTTGATTTGGAAAGTTAAAAATTATTGGTACAGCAGTAACAAGTGCTCTTTTACTACCATTATTGGCAAGATAGTATTGGAAAGAATCAAAATGTTCACAACAAATAGTATATTTAAGTTTAAGTTCTTCACATGATTTTGTATCGAGATCTTGACGACGACAATTACGAACCCAAAGCTTGCATCTAAATAATAGGTTAAACCTAATTAGTTTAGTGGACTTATTTACATCATATATGTATAAATATTTTTTGTTTCATAAAATTTAAAGTAAAACAATGTTCTAAAAGCTTCTTTAAATTCTTGATATACTAGTAATGATAAATAATACTAGTCATAAATTTGATTTGACTAAAAATTACTAACCTATTTCTATCCTTTGGAAATCTAAAAAAAGATATATTATTTCCAATATTCTTTCCACGCTTGTTTACACAACTGATGGCTGAGCAAAAGGCTTGCATATTTAGTATTGTGAGTATTTATAGAAAAAGCAACTTAATTCTTGAAAAACGAAATCTAATATTATAGTATATAATATATTTAGCAGACAACAAAGATATATATTAAATATATGTTGTTTATAATATGGTCCCGCAAGACATCCCATAATTCAATGTACGGCCAATTACACATAAATATATGGATTTTTAGTCGAGTTGGCAGGCTTTGATTTAGTCTAACAACTACGCATCTTTGGATAAAATCATCTTCTGCATTGACAAAAAACAAGTATCTGTAAGAAGGAACCATAAGTGTTGATAGCTTATGCAAAGGATGAATAAAATATTTTTTAATCAAGCTGGACAGAAATACTTGTGCATACTGACTTTCGAGAAAAAAACTACCGTAATAAAATTATTACTGCAATAAAAAGATTTGTTGACATTTTCGTCATTTGAGCTCTTAAATTTAAACTCATTTCACTACTTAAACATGAAATGGATGGTGGCCCATTGTTGCCGTTAAAAAAAAAAAAAATCCTACAAAATTCTACGCGACCCATTGCCATACGGCTCCACTTTTCTACCAATGCGGTTAAAAAAAAATTGGCGAATTATATACAAAAACAACGTGTAATGGTAAGCTCGGAATGCTACGTAAAAAATTTTTTTACAAAAAGAAATTTTAGACTTTAAAGTTAACTTTCCATAATATGCATGGAGTAAAAGAACTCTTGATAGGCATCTTCAATATTTAAAATATGTACTATTGATAAAAATGCAGCAGTTGAAGATGTTCAAAATGCTGTCAAAATAGAATTACATTTTCTACTAGCAGTAGAAAAGTAATGTGGATAAAAGTGTGAAGTAGTAATAGTACTCCAATGCTTATTGCTAGATTTCGTATAGAATATAATTTAAAAAATAATATTTTTTCCAAGTATATTTGAGTAAAAAAAGGTGCAGAAACTAAGCACGTGGATGGTTTGCCTATTTACGCCAAAATATTATGAATGATCCAACAGATAGCACCAATTATGACCCTTCAACCTCAAACCTTTTTAGCTAAGTTTTATAATAATAGAAATTATATACAATATTAAACTAAAAAATATTGTATTACATTTTAGATTGAACGATGGTTGAAGGAGTTTCATAATGTCTGGAAAAGTATTAAAAGATTCATTTAAAATGTCTAAAAGACCAAGGTCATTATGATCCTACAAATAATATTTATAGGTATTTTTGTTTTGTTTTGTTAGTAATAAAATGATTTTTATTTTTTATTGTAACAAGTACTTTTTTTAAAAACTGAGTGGTTTATGAACATAGTTTTCAATTAATTTTCTTATTAAAAAGAATAATGTAAGCAGTAAAATTAAATTAGGTTTTTTTTCCTAATAAGGTTTCTTTCTTTTTTGCTTAAAAAAACTTTATTAGAAATAAGTTAGTAAAATGCAATAAAAGTCTCTAAATGTGTTTATTTTATATTCTTGTTTTTAAAAAAATAATGAGAATACAGAATACTAAAATAGTGGTATTAATAATGCAGTTAGTTTATCTTTTATCAAATATACTATCGAAAGATTTTCTGATATACTATTTCTATACATTTAAATTGTCTGATACATAATTGCAATTAGCTTTCTTTCCTAACCTTTTGGTTACCTAAAAAAAACTAATACTTGATGGTAACAAAGTGAAGAAAATTGCAAAATGGATTGATCCAAAGCAGCTTTATGATGCAGAATCTAAATGTCTTCTCAAGTTACGGAGCTGAATGAAACTTCTATTGATCTAAAATGTGTTGAATGCATGTCTCAAAAATGATAAGAGTATTTTTGTAAATTTCTTTTGCAACATCCTAACATGATTCATTGCTATGTTAATGATATTGCAATACTTATCAACAAAATTATTTGGTTGAAAATTTAAATGTTAAATTTATTGGTGCAGATACAAGGCATACATGGCAATATTTGGCAATATGGCGCATAAAATAATAAGGCCACAAAGTAAAGGTGTTCAGCAACACTCTAAAGATACTGCCACACACACACACACACAAATATATATATATATATATATATATATATATATATATATATATATATATATATATATATATATATATATATATATATATATATATATATATATCAAACTTATTATGGTTTGGTAGATTTATGTAGAAATGTACTTCACTACACAAAATGATGCGTTTTTTAGTCAAATTACATAAGATCACCTGGAAGAAGAATATATTATACTTCATCAAAATTCTGCAGGTACCTATTTTCTATGATTTTAACAAGTGATGCAAAAGTTATGTATCAAGCATGCCTTTTTACTTTTGAAATTCAATGTAGATATTGAAAATTATAATGTGAAATCTGATCATTAATGTGCAATGTGCCAATTCAAGTTGTCTGAACACTGTTATAAAATTTTTGATAACTTGCAATATCTGGAATCTTCTATTGTTAAATACTAGGTTTGAGAGAGAATTCATAATAATTGAGAGAGAGTTTTTAGTTTATAAAAATTAAGTTTATAAAAGTTACACTTTTTTTTAGCCGTAGAAAAATAAGCCCTCACAAAAAAATCCGGTTTGTAAATCCATTGCATGATAAATAGGTCTGTAGTAAAGAATGCTATAGGCTTTAGTGAAATACAGCTAGAGTGGAAAAGAAAAATTCCTACTGATATAATATTTTAAAAATTCTTTAACCCTTTACCGCTTTCGGTAACCATATGGTTACCACAACTTTCTAAGATAATAAGGACTTATATACTTCGATTTTTAGTCTAATTTGTTTTATTCCTTAAAATATCATCTTTTAAAAACTAAATGAAGGAGCCGTGTTATCATTTCCGTATATATAAAATTATGTACAATTGAAACTAAAAAGTTGATTTTGATTAGTTAAAAAGTAACTCTTTTTGTAACAATCTTTATGACATCTTACAAATGTTTCCTCACTAATTTTTTTTGTATTTTTATTACCAAGATGTACATGTTTAAGGATAAAATATTCGGAAATGTTTTAGTTAAATATATAAGAAAATGCATATGTCTAAAGTAGGTGGTAACCATATGGTTACTCCGAACAATTAGTGTATATAATTGAACATGTTTACCTTTTTTTTCATAATAATTACTGCAAGTGAAATAAGGCAATGTTTTTTTGTTTTATTACTTTAATTATGGAAAAATGCACTCAAAATATTTGTGTTTATGTTCATTGATATGCTTCTATAATGTTTTTTAATATATAAACATAGCTAAAATGAATAAAAAGTCGTATACGATAAAAGAAGCTTAGAAATTATATCCAATAGAACACTTTTCCTTATTTTCCAACTTTTAATTTTATTCCAAAAATCTAGTTTTGAAACATTTTACAAAATAAATATTTTCTAGAAATACCATTAACATTATTTAGTTCATGGTAAATTATTTATACATTTTATTATAATATACATATAATTATATGACTTCCTCTTATACATCATTAAAACTTTTATTTTATTTACAGATCATATAGTAATCATTTAACATTTATTAATTAGTTAAGTAAATTTAAAAATTCTGCAGAATTACAGGAAACTAATATATACAACATGAAATCAGAAGCAACAGTATAATAATGAGGAAATAAAATGTTTAAGGGAGGGGGGGGGGGGAGGAGATAAAAGCCTGATTCTCCCCCCCCTCCCCATATTTTGAGCCTACCCTAGGCACCAAAAAGTATAAATAAATTATAAACGTATTATTGCTCTCAAAAAGACTTTATCTTTTTACAACATAAAATTAAGATATAGCTAATTTTATCATGTTAGTTTTATGCTGACTCAGCATATATAAGCTTTACTTAAAAGGCTGCATTTAGAAAAGTTGACAAATTCAGTAATATATTTTTTTATTAATAGTGATGTCTGATACCTATATTGTAAGTTATAATCATGCCTAAAAAAAAACTATCAAGGTGACATCGCCATTTTGACCGTCGAAATACCCCAAATTATATGCCTTTTTTATCTAATTTACATGTAATTATGGTAGTTAAAAAAATTTTCAATTAGAAGTTTGTATCTGCCATGTGGAAAATTGTCTATGTACAAAATTTCAGGATGATACCTCATTTGGTTCATAAAATTTTGCTATTTAACAACAAAAAAAGTATTTTGCAAAAAAGCTGAGTCACCATAAATAAGAAAATTGAATCCTGAATATCTAAAGAACCGTAAGGAGTTGGAGGTTCTAAATTTCTGATTTTCTTAATTTTTATAAACCCTATAACATATATAAAAATTAGCAAAATCTCAAACATGGGGTATATATACACACATACATATAAAAGCTCTATGCATATGTAACTAGGTATCAAAATTGTGTTTGTAAAACCCGATTGCTTTTAAATTCTGATCGTATTAAACTTATCAAGAAAAAAGCTATTGCTGATTGTCTAAATGACAAAGCTCTGGTAACCAGTTATTGTGGACTTATGCTTGAATTTTGAATCGTTATTGGAATGTATTGTTGAAGCTCATTGTTTTGATTTAAAGTTTTTAAAACAATCTAATACTGAAATTTAACCTTATATAATATAACCTAATATAATATAATATAATAATAAATTAAATTATAAATAAAAATAATAACTAACTAAATAAAACTAACTAAAAAAAAAAAATGAATATAAAATAAAAATCAAAAAAATTTGACAAATTAAATCTATTTTTTGGAAAAAACGTTTTAAAATTGCAACTTAGTTAATTAGTTGTTGATTGTTGACAACAACAACAAATCTAAAATAATTATTTTATTAAACATTAGAGATTATTCTTATTTTAATAATTTAATTTATTAGTATTTAATAGATTAGTATTAGTAACACCAAAAATATTCCTTTTTTTTTTTTTTAAACAAATCTGTTTACTTTTGCACCCTTATGTATTTTATATATTTCAAATTTTATTCCTAAAAACTAAATTAATATATTATTATACTTAAATGTTGATCTGTATTTGAATATTATTCAAGCATTGAACATTGAACAACAAAAAAAAATTGTTTTCTATGCTAAAGTTTTTTTTATGTTTGCAAAATATTAAAGTAATCTTTCGAAAAAAATAAAAGTTGTCACCTGGAGTAGAAGCTAGTATAAAACAAAATCCAGCATTTTCGGCTAAACTTGTCTGTTCCTTTAGAGTTACATTTTCATCTACCTGGCAATTTTCAAAAAAAAAAAACTTTGGTTTACCAATTAGCCATTGAGCGGAATTGCTATTTATAGCATCTTGAATATCACCAATTCCTAACTTTTTATCATTTGCTTTTTTTTTGAAGCCAAAAAAAAAACACACAAGATAACTAACATTTTCTTGAATTATAGGAAGATTTTTAATAATATCTAATATGTTATGTCCATCTTTAATTTCATGTTTATACACTTTACAATTCAGCCATTCAAAAACATTCTCCAGCTCAAAAACAATATTCAAAAACTTATCAGAAGAATAGATTATATGACAGATTCCTGGATTCGTATTGTTATAAAGCTGAATACCTAAAAAAAAATTTAACCATTAGTTTTTCTAGTGCTCATTCTACTAAGTGTTATTAAATAATATTTATATTAAATTATTATTATAAATAATGTTTAATATTAAATAATAAATAATATTTAAATAACTACAAATATTTATAAAAGATTAAGGCTCTAAATTTGATATACTTTTTTAAATTTTCACTTTTGCAATTAATAAAATGAACTACTTATTAACTAATTTCACTTCAATTATAAAAAAAATTTTCTATAAGTTTTTATATTTTGCTGAATTTTCTTAACTGAGTAGTCATAAAACATGCCCCAGAAAAATTTGTGCATGAAAAAGTGTGTATAAAAATTTTGTATTCATACTTTTTTTTTTAACAATAATAATATACTAAAAAAGGATTTGGAAAAATAATTTAAAAAAATTCTTTATTAATTGATGCTGAAACAGAATTTTTGATCAACCATCAGCGCTTACACTATTTTATTGGTGAATTTGCTAGCAGTTTATTTCCTATTTTTCCAAAATGTCTAAAATTATTTTATAAAGCATTTTGGAAAATTTGGTGGGTTTATATCCTTGGCCACAATATTGCTCTATTCTAGTAGTATTATAAATTGCATATAGGGCATGCAATACTGATTTGGTACTACCAGTATTAGCTTGTAAATTGAGTTTGGTACCAGTATTTGCTCTCCCAATACCGTAGAGTTCAACAAATCATTATTTTTTTAAAGAACGTTGACGCTCAAATTATTTATTGGCAAATGTCTAATTTCAAAGATTTATGTCATATAAGTATGTCATATATTTTCAAATAACTTAATTCTACTTAATTAGATATCAATGGTAAATAATAAATTAATATAATAAATTTTTATTTTTTAAAACAATTTTTTACGCATTTGCATTTGTGCGCAAATTAAGGATAATTAATATGCAATGACCTTATTATTGTAAATTGTTATCCATTGATACTAAACAGTGAACTTTTCTCAATTTAGTTTGTTAAATTTATTTACTAATAAAAAACATACAAACTTGAAGAAATTAAAATAAAAGGAATTAAAAATTTAAGCGGTTTTGACATTTTTTTTTTTTAAACATAAAAATAGTAATGTCATATTGTAATATCATATTTATCAATATCATATTTAATAATAAATTAATTAAAATATCATATTATTGGCAATGTTAAGTGCACAATAAAAAATGAAAACTATAATAAACACATTAATTCTACATATTCTTTTAGATTATATATTTTTCAGCAAAACTTAAAAACTTTTTTTAAAACTTTGAGAAAGTGTTTTTTTAATATGCAAACAAGTACTACTAAAAAATTGGACGTATATGAACCTTGACGAACAAGGAGAAATAAGTTGAGCACGGTAATACCAGGGATGCGGTGGGGATCCAACTCAAAACCATTCGCTTATGAAGCAAGCGCTCTGACACTAAACCACTACTGCATACCTATTACCTATTTTCTATATTCCACAGCCAATATTATTGTTAAAAGTAACTTTAATGCTCATCATACTAAATAATTTACCTCGATCCTGCCATCTTTAAAGCTCAAAATATTTGTCTTTCTCAATTTCCTACTCAGAAAGTCAAATTTGTAACTCGTTTTTCAGACAATCCTAATTGTAATGACTGGATCAATCTCCATCATGGAGAGGGCTGATGATAAAACAAAGGGTATTTGTAGTGTAGGCAGAAAGACATTTCCCTTAAGTAATATGGGTATAATTCTGTATTTATTGAATTTTTAAACTTATGACATATTTAAAAAAATTGAGAAGATAAAAAAAAAATAAAAAAAAAATTAAAAAACATAGTGTCTTACCCAAGATGAAAATTTGAAACTTTGATGAGGAATAAAGAGGGATAAAGAGAAAGTCTTGAAAAGAAGGAGAAAAATGTGTCTTTGAGTTTTTTGAAGCCTTTTAATTATGGTAAGATTACTTATGTTAGATTATAGGTCAGTTCATTATATTTCAGTTAATGGTCAAAACAGTTTTGGCATGATTTTACATTCTGTATATAGATTGATTTTAAAATTTAATATCTCCAGCTATCTAAAAGTGCAAACTATAATAAAGACGAAAAAAAAGATTGTTATTAAATAATTAATAACATTATAATTTTTTTAATAATAATTTTCCAATAATGCATTAAACTTTTGGTAATTAAAATAATCTTTTAATTACCAAAGATTTAATGCATTATTGGAAACCAGTACCCCCCCAACCTGCCTACAGGCTTATAAAAAAAAAGAAAAATATAGCCTCCTTGATCTGATATACTAGATAGATGCAAAAAAAAAAAAAAGTAGCTGAGCCCTGCACAATAGCTCAAATACAATATTTATGAAAAATTGAAATTTATCTTAAAATTGCTGATGAAGTTGATTAAATTGCTAATGATTCAGTGCATAAGTGAAACAGTGAACTTTGGCAAGCAACGTAAAGTAGAAAAAAATGAATCTAGCAATTATACAAAATTATTTAACATTTTGTTTAAATAACTTTTTATAAAATGTAAATAAGTTTTAATTTCAAAATAATATTTTTTACATATAATGGTAGATAAAATATCCTTTTTTCAAATTTATACACGTGTTTGCAATAAAATAATTTATTTGTTTTATATTTTGCTTTTCTAAAAACTTTGTTATTGCAGTTTTTTTTAATCATTTGTTTGTATCCTATTATTTTTGTAAAATCTTTTTTATATATAAAAATAAGTAGGTGAAGTTCAATATAAATTCAGCAAACTTTTCCTAGGTGTGAAACTATATTTAGTATTAGGGTATAATGTGGGGTAGAAAGTATGCAGAATAGCAAATACGGGGCATAATGAGTTATTTTCCATTTTACTTTATTTTGCTGTTTTTTAATAAATAGCAGACTAAACACATCGTATATTTCCTTAATTAAATTAAAGAACAAAATCACACTTAAAGTTGAATGATTCCGCTTGTTTTTTAAATTTCAAATTAATTTTTTTAATAAATAAACTGGAACCTAAACTGAATTGAACCAAATCAAGCAGCAAGTTTATTTATAATAAAAATACTAATTTTTAATTTTAAATATGAAAGTTTTCATTCGGAATTAAGAACACGTGTTTTATTAATTCCCAACAGACATATTAAATCAAAAAATAGCATTCAATTTTAAATATAAATACCTCTAGCTTAGAGTTAAGTATAGATTTTTAAAATTACTTTTATATTTTAATGTAACATTGTATTGGCATAGAGTGTGCATTATCTATTAATTAGATTCTGCCCTATTTTTTTTTTTTTTCACTGTCATGGTCTATTTCTGTCAGATAACTGTTAACCAGTAGAAATCTCAGTTATTAGTATCAGGTTGGTTGCAGCCTTAGCAAATGCTCCCCTATTAATCTAATAGGAAGCTTGTAGTGCTTTTTGCCATTTAGCAATGCAGTTTTTTTAATCTCTTACACAGTTTTTTTTAATCTCTTACACAGTTTTATTTTAAATGGCAGTAACTCAAGGAATAAAACATTGTCGGCAACCAATTTTGCTCCCTGAAAATTATTATTTTATAACCCTTCATTATTATAACCATCCCATTATACTTTGCCATTAAATCAACTCGTTTCTCCGCGCAGCGGCCTTGTTCATCAAGGTTCGTGTTTCGGAGTTATAGAGTTGAGAGAGGGTTATAGCCACAAATAAGTAGCCTCCTCGTCTGTAGTGGCCTTCTCGGCCTTGAGGAGGTGAACTAAAATAAAAAAATAAAAAAAAAATAGTATCTAAGTTAGTTTTTAATAAATAGTATCGCAGAAATATATCTGTATTTGTCTGTTATCTGTAAATTATCAAATCTGTACAGTACACTGTATACGGGTGCCATTTCAAAATGAATAATATTCATTTGAAGAGGGCAACCCTAGCTGTACTGTACAGATTTGATGATTGAAACTATAAAAAAAAATTGTAGTATTCAAAAAAATATTGTTTTATAAGCTACAAAAAATAAAACGAATGAAAGTTATTCCCCTCCTTACACACAAATTCAATTGTTTCGTGATAAATTGATAGTGCAAGGAATACACGACCAGTTAGAAAATGTTTCACATGGAACGCATTTGCTTGTAGCTTTGTCCCAAAGGCTTCATTCAAAGGTTACAGGCATATAACTGTATTTTCAAAACAACTACGCGCATTTTCTGCTTTAATGTCAATATTTGCAAAAAGCTTTTTTAATTTTTTTTTTTTTTTGTATTTTTATGGCTGGAAACTGCTGGTTATTTAATCTTAAAAATTTTTAACCAAGTAAAATCCTACCATTCACTTACATTCTTCCTTTACTGTTTTAAAAACTCCAACATCTAGTGGTTACAAAAAAGGATTTGTGTGAGCTGGCAATCAAAATTATGTTATTTGATTCAGATAATCTTTTAAATTCAAAATTGATGTGAGATGTATGGCCATATAAAAATAGAATTTTAGATCCAAAAGCATCGCAACAAGTTAAAATTGTAGTCATTTGTTTTTTATTTGCTAGGTAAGTTGTTTTTATTCCTCTTTGACTAATAACGTTGACTTTAACTTGATCGAATTTCAATCCTTTTTATCTACAGATAAAACGACTTTTCAATTAAACTATGCTTTCAATAAACAGTATCAATTTGGCTGAACATTCATCAATAATTGCCAATTGCAAAGACACGGCTCTTACAGCTTGCATGCTAGTAGCCTTTCTTTCACAGATATTTTTTGCACATTTTCTCATAAAACTATTGTATCACTTTTGAGTAGGTTTACTAATCTTGAATAAATGAGTTTGTTTAGATTCCTTCAAATAGTTTTTGACCACAGTTAAAATATCATTTCTTTTTAAGCCCTAGCCAATGCCACTCATAAACAAGTTCAACTATAAGCCTCTCCAATACTTGACTTATTACTCTGAGCCTATAAAAACAGCTCCATTTATTCCTTTTAATTTGCAAAAAATATTTATTTTAGGAATGTTATAGCACAAAGCCGCTTCTGAATATGATATCTTATTATTGATAGCCTCAACACTTAGTTTAATTTTTTTTTCGCGATTTTCATTTTTTAAAATTTTTGATATTTTTTTTATTAAAAATTATTAAGATAAACAAAATGTTTGGAAATTCATTAAAAAAGATAAAACTGTTTTTAAGTTAAAGTATAAAGTACTATTGTTAAAAATTGTTGTTAATTACTTGCACGTGAAAACGCCAACTTTTTCAAAAAATAAAATGTATTCTTAAATCTGTTCTGGATTTGGTAAACATTTAAATTATACAGAAAAGGACTGTTTTTTGATTAGCTTACGAAGTATTGCTAATTTTTGACTTTTTTTTCTTCAGATAAATAATCACCATCAAATTCTACGCCGAACAGCATGCAACTTAATTTGTTTTTTTTTTTAAATTGGATTTATATTGCTGGTTTTTCAAGGTTTTAAAAAGTGTTTTACTTGCAATTAAAAAATTTTATGGTATCAATATGTATTTTAAAAATATTTTTTCATATTCTTGTTACCTTTGTTTTCTAATTTTATAAACAGTTTTCCTTTTAAAAATCTCACAAAATAAAGCATGTAACAATTAGTGAACTAAAGTTGTTCAGAATTAGAGCCTATTTGGAATTAGGAAAATCTAAGGTTTATGATATTTTTTCATTCAATATTTATAAGTCAAAAAAAGTTCTCTAGTTCTACTATTTTAAACAAATCTCACACTAAAACATAAATCTCACACAAAAAGCATTAAATTGATTCAACATGATTATTATTGCAATAAATAAAATGATGTAATTTTTAATTTGTCTGTCTCCTCATTGCACACACTTAATATCGCTATCAGGATATGGTGTAGAACAAATACTGGACATGTGGTTATGCAATTTAAAACAGCCACACTTTTAACCAAAATTCTGCCACAATAACAAGTTTCATAAACGCCTTTCAAAAAGCCAGCGTACAAATACTTTTTTGTGAAGCAGCCTTTTTGACAACAGAAGCTACTGATTTGAAACAACTCCTGTAGCTAATTCATGTAAAATGGCTATTATCAGCTATTTATCTGTATTTACCAGTCATCTGGTATTGACAACTTCAACCAAAATATCTGCTTTTAACAGAATCTGAACAATCTAACACTTACTAATTATAATTACTAATATATTTTAATTTTCATTTAAGTATGGAACAAAAAAAGGTACAATGTTTGTAAAAAAACCTTCTGTAATATATATAAATATTTTATGTTTGCTATGCTTAGTATTTTTATGTTTGTAAAACGCTTTTAAACTTTGAAATTTTATTAAAATAATAAAAAATATATATTACCTGAAATAGTAGCACCAGAAGTGCAATAATTAGCATCTTTAGGTAAACTTCTATGATTAAGTGAAGTTGTTTTACTCTGGGCAGCAGAAATAGGAGCGTCAACACATAAATCTTTACTTGGAAACATGTGTTTGAACTTTGAAATTTGATTCGATTGTTTAGGGTTCATCGACATTTCTGAAATGAAAAAACCAACTTTTTTAAAAAACAAAACTAAAATGGTTTATACTTTTCACATTAAAACATTGTTTATTTTATTATAGTTGAATCGTATTTATATTTTTAAATAAATGTATTTAGTATGTGTATACATGCATGCATTGCAAAAAATTTAAAAAATTAATTTTTTTTTTTGAAGCTGTTAGGCTATTTGAGGCTTTGTGTGATTGTTGAAACTTTTATAAAATGAGAATCGTAATATAACAAAGAAAGCTTATATACAGTATTGGACAAAACATTTGCAACCAACATCGAACAATGCTAAAAAGTGTTCCTAATTTTACATGTCTTGAAAACAAAACAAACTATACTACCACAGCAAACAGTTTAGAAGTCTGGAGTCATAGCATGCCATGACATGAGCAATTAGCTGACAGGTGACGGCAACACAGGCAGAATTTTGTTGACAAGTGTCATTTTGCAGCGGACAAAACAAGTGCAACTTTTTTGGTTTGTTTCATTTTCTTAAGTCTGGTCTGTGTCAACGTCATGGAAGTTTTTTAATAATTAAAGGAAGTATCCAGAAGTTTCCAAAAGCATGCAGAAGCTTTAATAGGTTTCCAGAAGAAGCATCTGGAAGCATCCAGAAGTATCCAGAAACATTAAGAAGCATCCAGACGCATCCAGAAGCATCGAAAAGAAGCATTTTAAATCTTCCAGAACAGGTTCACACAGGTTCATTTTACTATATAAGAGACATGTAAACCGACATGTAATTCAGTTAGTATATGGAAGTCAATCAGTCAGTATTATCAAGTTTATCGAAGCGAGTTTTATAAAAGTATTTTATCGAAGAACATCAATACAAGAAGTGAAAAACAACAAGTGTTTTGTTACATCAATACAGTCCACATCCAACCAAGACAATGTGTTTTACAGAGCATTATTGTATTATCACAAGGTAAATCTAACACGGTGAGCTTTGAGAAGCGTGATTATTTTTATTATTTTTATGACTTCAAGTGCAAAAATGGCTCCCGAGAGTCTTGGATTAGAACTAAGAAAGAAATTTATTGGCGATTACGTGGAATTAAGTGGAATGTCACAAAAAGTATTTGTGATAAATATCGCGTGAAAAAATGAACCATATTAAGACTATGTTCCAAATATCGTTCTACGGGGAAGTTGTCAGCAGATAACAAAGGTGAAAGGCTGCATTCCACCACTTCTAGAGAAGATTCTACGATTGTCAGATCCGTCAAGAAAGATCCCTGGATATCATCAGTCGAGATACAAAAGCAATTAGAGCTGCCTGTATCGGACCGAACTATCAGACGATGTGCTGTTGAAGCCCGATTGTTTTCTTGACGCCGTGCAAAGAAACCACTGATTTCACTAAAGAATCAGAAGAAAAGACTCCTGTTTGCTACATCTCACATTGACTGGAATGTGCAGAAATAGCCAACATTTGTTATGTACGTCGACCGGCCGGAAAACGCCTTGATTTACGTTACTGCCATTCGACCATGAAGCATGGTGGAGGCAATGTAATGGTCTGGGGGTGTTTTTCTGCTAACGGTCAAGGTCCAATACATCGAATCAATGGAATAATGGACCGTTTTATGTATAAAAATATCCTGAAAGATGTTATGTTACCTCATGCTGAATGGAATATGCCAATAAAATGGGTTTTTCCACAAGACAACAATCAGAAACACTGCAAAAGTAGTCAAGCAGTGGTTCCAAGACAACCACCTATCGGTGATGGATTGGCCGCCTCAATCTCCGGATCTCAACCCTATTGAGAGCCTGTGAGAGATCGTCAACTGCAGAATTAATCATGAAGGTGTTCGTAATAAGGATCAACTGTTTAAACAAATCCAAAAGGCCTGGGCAGCAATTCCACAAAGTTTCATTGATCACCTGATCGAATCTATGCCTCGAAGATGCAAGACTGTGATCGATAACAAAGGATTCGCCACGAAATATTGATAGCGAAATACAGCTTGGTCAACATTTTGTGCACTGCAAAAAAATGTTTTGTTAATTTAACCAAATATGTTTGGTTAAGTAATTTTGGTAAAAGCTACAAACCTGTTTGGTAAAACATACCAAATATTTTGTGAACTTTACCAAATTGATTTTGTTATTTTAACCAAATTATTTGGTTTGATAATCTTTTTGGTTTTTGACTTTACGCAAAATATAACAAATTTATTTGGTTAAATTTACAAACTTGCTTTTGTTATTTTCACCAAAAACGCCATGGGATTGCAAATGATAGAAAAAAGCTAGGTTTTGTCGCCATTTTACTAAAATAATTTTTAATAATTTTACTATAATCATGATTAACTGTGCTTATTGCTGCAAGTTACAGCAACTATAAATTTTATTTAAAAGTTTTTCACAACAAACATAGTTATGGCGAAAGATTAGTTTGCAGTAAAGGTGGTTGTCCAATGGAATATAATTCTTTCCAAAGTCTTTCAAATATATCCTGCATTTTGTCTAATCAAACAAACTTTCGTATCTGATACTAATTTCTTTTATTTTATTTGTCAAAAGTTGTTTATTATAACTGAATGCTATCACTTGCAATCTTTTGAGGTTGAAATTGAGTTAATGGTTTTAAATTGCTCTCACTCTGATAACCTTACCTTGGCCATTGAATTATTATAATATATATTAATTGGCCATTTTATATTATAATATATACCCCCACGGAATAATTATATTATATATAAGTATTATTTTAACTTCTAAAATGATATATTTTCATTATTTTATTTTTTGGTTTTGTCATTTTGTTTTTTAAATAAATTTATTTAATAAAATGAAAAACTTAAATAATAATTAAATAAAGTTTCTGTTGCTTTATTTTTACTCGTTTTTATAGTGTTATTAAAAATGAAGGATAAAAAAGTAAAAAGTAAAATGCAATGTCTCAAATCAGGATGTGATTGTGATGAATACACAAAAGAGAAAGGTTTTGATTTGAGTGCCTATTGTGATCATGCACCAGTTTTACATAAAGGTATTTTGAACAAGTATTTTTATATTATAACATTTCTAAATAATTACGGAAATATTACATATAACACAATTTTATATACTTTAGTGGAAGACGATTTGAATCTTGTTGAAGATATTGAGTTAGTTCATTTCTCTAAGAGCAATGCAATACAAAACACGTTATCCGGTACAGTTATTCTTTTTATAACTTTTTGTCTTATGTTTAAAAATTCAGCTAGCTATAAATGTGGTAAAAGTAATGAAAAATTACATTTTACGTTTTTTTTTCATGTTTTCAATATTATATACATAATATTTTTATCAACAATATTCCTAATAGTTTATAAATAATATTTTTGCCTCTTCCAGTATGTCAAGTGTTTTATTTGAACCTCAAAACTGTACAAAAGAAATTGCAGATGCTTCCTTTGGTATTTGTGTTACATATTAGAAAAAAAAAGATTTAGAAGTGGCTTTAACATTTTTAAATATTTTAAAAGAGTATACTTAAACACTTGATTTTTTTATGTAATCATGTTTCTCACTCTTGCTATACTAGTAATACTTTTTGCAACCAATGTGAATAACAATACTATTTGATTATAGAACCAGCTACTACTATTATAGAACCAGACTGTACTGCTATCATAGAACCAGCTACTTCTATTATAGAACCAGCCTGCTATTATAGAACTAAACTGCTATTATAGAACCAGCCAAAGTGAAATAGACTTCAGTTTGTACAATAACAAGATAACAAGCCCATTGAAAAAGCAGTGTATTCAACAAGCTAAGCCATTCCAAGATACAGCTGCTAAAATAGTTTTTGCATCAAAAACTGAACTTCATCATAAAAGCAATACTCTCTTTGAGGTTTGAAATATTTTTTCGAATGTTTAACTATTTTAATAATTTCTGTTGAAGAAAATATTATAATACTTAATTTGCATTATTGATATTTGTATCATAAGTATGATGATTTTAATTATAAATTATATTTTGTTTAGTAACACTGAAATATTATTTATAAATTTAACAGAATGGCTTAGCCCTGATCCTAATTTCTTGCACAGATGGGATGATAGTGTTACGTGCTTCAGATCTAACCTTTGGTTTACGCAGCAAGTTGGCTGGAATAGTAGTAAACCATATTATTCAAAAGAAAGGTTTGCAGTAAGTAAAAAGTTATTAAATTTTAAAAATTAGTTTTATTTATTATTATCTTTACTTATTATTTATTACTAAACTTACAAATATAAAAATATGTCATGGATGTAAAGCAAATACATATAAAAATTTGATAAAATTATTTTTGATATATAAATTGTTATTAAATTTTTCTGTAGAAATCATCCAACTAATGCAGATGTGAATCAACAAATGCCATTATTACACATTTTCCCTCAGAAAAGCTTCTTACTATTAAACTTTATGAGTTGATGTGATCTAAATGATTTTTAATGAAATTGTTGATATATATTTAATATCTTCTGTGTTAGGAAACATGGTATACTGCTCCTACGAGTAAAAAAACTATAGCTGGTGGAAAATTGACCGAAAAGCTTCGCAACACATGGCGAAATATCGAATCAGTTGGTATTTTAAAAAATTCGAATAGCCAACAATTAGTTGAAGAACATGATAGTAGCGATGGTATGTTTTATACGTTTTAGTTATAATGTTTTCATGTTTAGTTTTGATGTTTGATAGTTATTTTAATAGTATATTGTGTTTTAGTAAATTTTTAGTAAATTTTTTATATCAATATGTTAATTATGGAAATTTTGTTTGATAAATTATATTTTGATAAAATGTTTAAATAGAATTTGTCTTTGTACTATATCATAAAATAGAGAAAATTTTAGTTTTCTTTTAAACATTTAAAAACTTGTATAAAAGAAGAAACTCAAGATGACCTTAATTGGCTTAAATTTAATAGTCAACCTTGGACTGAAGTGTGCCATAAATGGAAATCAACTTCAAAATTTAGGTTGAAATGTTTTCAATCGGGCACCAAAGACATTCCAAATTTAAAACTTCTTTTGGATCCAAAAGCAGTTGCATTGGTAAGTACTTTAAATATTTGTTATATTTTATTACATATGTCCATATACTGGCAATATGTTCACCACAGAAATACAAAATAATGTCTTACCTTTTATAGGTAAATATTGATTTTACTCAATTGAGTATGCAAAAGAATTATGAGCATTGTAGCAACTTTATGTTTCAAAAAATTCCAATACATGCAAAATTGATAGGCTTAGTTGCCAAGAAATACCCCATGCAAGATGGTTAGTTTTTTATTTTTCATTAAAATTTATGATTAGCATACATATATCAATGACAGCTTAGTCGGCAATCTGAGAGACTGATTGTTTTTAAGATGGTGGAAAATTACCTATGGTACATCATCTAACTGACAATAGAAAAAACATATTTATACGTTCATGTGGATATATATATATATATATATATATATATATATATATATATATATATATATATATATATATATATATATATATATATAATATATAGGGGTAGAAGAAAAGACAGCTGCTCTTTTGGCTATTGTGCGATTGACATGCGACAAATGTTCCAACCATTTATGCAAAGAAAGCAAAGAGAAAATCATGGATTCCTAGTGTTAAAGAATGTGACAAATCATTTCTTTTTCTAGCCAATGTATATTAAATATAAATAAATTTCTTTTTATTCAAAAATTATTATTTAAAAACACTAAAATTTATTAAATATAAAAATTATTAAAATATCTATGTTATTACTTATATTTATATTTTTTCAGTCAGTTGAAAAAGCTGAGCAATCAATTGATAACATTAGGATTTTATATAATGACCTGAAGCTGACACTTCAACCTTTAGTTTATGGTGTTCTGCCAAACATTGCTGTTGTTGTGTACAACAATCACAGATGGTCATTTGAAACCCCCTTGAAAGCAATGGATTTTTCTTTTAAATTGATTCAGGCGAGTTTAATGTTATTACTGATATTTGCGTTCTTGCATACAGAATTTATTGACAATTCTTTATCATTCTCAATTATTTTTCTTTAGATCTTGGATAAAGAATACAATACTGCAAGTTTTCCAGCTTGAATGTTTTTGCAAAAATATATATATTGTTTTAATTGCCCTGATTTTGACGCATGGTGTCCAAAAGCAAGTGAATTGGCCTCTGAGTTAAATTTATAAGTATAGTTAACTATTATTGGCACTTGGATTTTTCACGAGCTTAGCAACAGTTTCTCAAGTTATATAAAGATAATAATTGTAAAACAGTATGTTTAATGTACTAGATAAAATAGTATTTTACGTATTTCATTAAAGTGTTTTTCTTACATAATATAGAGTATGAGTATAAACTATACAATATGTTATAAACTATAATAACGTGTTAATTTTCTTTTTAGTGATGGCGAGATAATGGCTAAAAAATGTACGTTTATAAATAATGTATTAGTTAAACCTGTAATATGTTTACCTTTAACGTCATAAACTAAGGGTTCATGTCTACAAAAAATGAACGGTTAAAGTTAACAAAATAACCAAGTTCTAAAGTATTTTTAGTTTTAAAACATAAATTTGTTTGTCTTTTTTTCTTTTTAGTGAAGGTTAGACGATGGCTACAAAGTGTACGTTTAGAAATAATTCTATTAGTTAAACCTAAACGATGTTTACCTTTTAAATCATAAACTAAGTGTTCATGTCTACAAAAAAGAAAACTCTTAAGTTAACGAAGTAAACCAAGTTCTAAGGTATTTTTACTTTTCAAGTTTTTAATCTTTAAGTACTTAATAAATAAAAAGTTATTCAGTTTGGAACATTAAAGAATGTGCAAATCTTAATGTGTTTATATATATTCCAAAACTATTGAAATATGAATTCATAATGGCTATTCAATTTTTTTACGTTACTGCAAACTAATTAGTTCCGTATTTAACGGGATACTATTGCTAGTGAAATATTATTTGTAGATAATTAGAACGTAATAAACAAGATAGAACAAATAGAAATATTATGTTTTTTTTAGAGTTATATTACTTATACTTTAGTTTTTTGAGAGAAAGTTCCATTTTGTCTCAGAAAGAAGAAAATTTATTGGTTTTATTACACGCCAAAAAAAAGGTAAATTAATGAAATTTACCAAAATATTTGGTTATTTTAACAAAAACATTTATGCACCAAATATTTTTGGTAAATTTCACCAAACGCATTTGGTGAAAAATATTTCACAAAATCATTTAATGAAATTTACAAAATCATTTAGTGAGATTTACAAAATCATTTTGTGAAATTTACAAAATCATTTTGTAAGTTTTACAAAATCATTTTGTGAAACTTACAAAATCATTTTGTAAAATTTACAAAATAAATTTTACTAAATTATTTGGTTACTTTAACATAAACAAATTTTTGCATAAACATTCACCAAATGTTTTTGTTACAAATTTTTTGTAAATTACACAAAACGCTTTTTGCAGTGTGGAGTCGCACTTGTTTTATCCAGAAGGAAATCAACTTTTTTTAATACTTTTGATTAATTTATTAATTTTCGTGTACAAATAATGAACTTTGTGATGAATAAAACTTAAAGAATGTTGTCTCTAAACAGTTACATAGTTATTTCTCTAAATTGAAAAAATGCAGCACAAGAAACTAAATTAGCATTATTTGGTTGCACCTGTTTTGTCCGATACTGTAAGTAATTTGATTGGTTATATGACAATATTTAAAAGTATATTAATATTTTAAAGTAATGTAGTGCATATTTCCGTGTTAACTTCGTGTGATTCATTCAAAAAAGACAGCAATTTAAATGCAATTATAAAATTTGTTGATAAAAAATTTTATTGAAATTAAATAGTTTTTTTCATATGGTGATAGTCAGTTAGCATTATTGTTCTTTTTACTAACTTTAAGATATAGTTCTAACTTAAAGATATAGACCTAACTTAAAGATATATGAGAATCAAAGTTATAACTTATTATGTACATGCATGCATTGCAAAAAATTTATGATATTATTCAATTTTTTTATAGTTGTTAAAAGTTTTTTTATAGGTTAATTAAGATTATTAGAACAGTTTATAAAATGAGAATCATTACATAATCTAAGCAATTTGATTGGTCGTACTTTAAAGTATTTAAATACTTAAAAGTATTTGATTGGTCATACTTTAAAGTATTTAAAACTTAAAAGTATTTGATTGGCCATACTTTAAAGTATTTAAAATAATACTTGTGTTAAATTCATGTGTTTTATTTAAAAGTTACAGCAATATAACATGCAATTATATAACTTATTAAAAATAAATTGAATATCTTTTAAAATTGACAGCTAGTTTTAATAATGTAAATTATGTCTGCTTTTAAGTTATTCAAATTATTTTTTATATAAATACAAAAATGAAAATAATACATAATAATTAATGATTTGGATGATTTATATTTATTGTAAACAGTCATAAAAAAATATTAGTTGATATAGTAAAAACTTAAGTTCCATAACCATTAAAAAGCAAAAAAAAAAAAAAAAATCATTTATTTAAGGTTTAACTACAAATGAAAAAAAACGTATTAAATGTTTTGCTCTAGCTTGCAGTTATTTCAGTAAAATTTTTCATTCAGTAGAGTTAACAAAACTTTCATAATCAGTAACATTTTCATTCACAAAAAATAAGAAAATAAGTTAACTTTTTATTAAAACATATACAATAGAAAAACTTATACTAAAAATAGAAATTAAAAAGTTAGTAAAATGCTACATTTACTTTAACAAAAATAAAGAAAACGTCAGGGCGCTTGAACTTTTTTAAATTGGATTATGGACAAGGAGCGATTAAACTCTTGTTTTTTTTTTGTGAAAAAAAATTACAGACATAGAGGGGATCAAACTCGGGACTACTCGCTTATGAGGCGAGAAGTCCCAAGTTTGATCCATGCCACTACACCACTACCGTTTGTAAAACTAAAATTTGTTACATTATAAATTTTAATATTAACTAATCTGGGTACTCTTGTACCTTTACTCTTAGAAAATTCTTATGCTTTCAAACCAAAAATATATTTATAAAATTACATTAATAAAATAATCATAATAATTTGACGCTCATCATTACACTAAAATTTTATTGAAATTACTAATTTTACTAAAATTTTGTTGTACCCTTTACTAAATCCAATTCGTATTCTTGAGTTAATCTTTTGATTTGTTTTTTAACATTAACGCACATTTTGAATGCCTTTCGAGATTCTTGATTTTACAAAATAAAATAGAGAATGCCTAATCTTTATCGCCTTTTGAACCTTTGCATCCAGGGTTGACTATTCCTTATTTTGTTATTAAGTGTTTGGAACAAACAATTGACAAGATTCATTATATGTATGTAAAATAACAATATTTGTAAAATTTTGTAAAATTTAAACCTTTTATGTTTGCTATGCTTATTATCATAATTTTTATGTAAGTTTTTAAAATGTGAAGTTTTATTAAAATAATAAAAGAAAAATATTACCAGGACCAGAAAAATATTACCAGCATCAGAAGGGCAACAATCTAAATCATTAGCTAAACTTGTAAGAATAATTGAAGTTGTATCTCTCTGGGCAACAGAAATAGAATCGTCAATACATAAATCATTTTGTGGAAACACATGGGCATACTTTGAAATTTGATTTGATTGTTTTGGATTCATCGCCATTTCTGAAATAAGAAAAAAAACATTTTTAAAAAACAAAATTATACTTTTCACATTTAACGTTGTTTCTTTTAATATAGTTTAATTAAATTTATAGTTTTAAATAAAATTTAAAAATCAAATTAAACTCTTCTTGACTATTAAGTAACATTATGAAATAAATAATAGAAATTGAAATTAAATAGTTTTTTTCAAATGATGATAGTCAGCTTGTACTATTGTATCTTTTACCAACTTAAAAATCATCAAACAAGCTTCAGATATGAGAATCAAAGTTAAAAGTTAGTATGTGAATTAGCTGGTGAACTTTAACTCAATATTTTTCAGCTAATCATTATTGCAATAATCTAGATTTTTCTATATTTATGAACCATAATGTACTTGATGAGTCATTTACCCTTCGTCTTCTAGAACTAACTCTTACTTTGATCTTTCTTGGAAACCCAATCATATCAAACCATATTAAACCCATTCCTAAATTAGCACCTCATCTCTCCACTTTCTTACTCAAGATTCTATTATTTATCTCTACAAATCTCAAATCTGTGCTTGCATGGAATACCGTTGCTATATCTGGGGTGGATCTTCCAATGATACCCTTTCTCTTTTAGATAAGGTGCAAAAATGCATTGTAAACATAGTTGAAACTGCTCTTGCAGCCAACCCCCAACAATTATTACATCGTGATAATGTGATTCTCTTTCTCTTTTCCATAAATACTATAATGGGTGCTACTCTAAAGAGCTTGCATCTCTTATGCCATCTACTAAAAATCATTTTAGTGTTACTTGTCATCCAATTAAGTCTCATCTTTTTACTGTGACTGTTCCTAAGTGCTCCAAAAACTCTTATTCATCTAGTTTTTTCCTCAAACATAAGTTCTTTGGAATTTGCTCCCTTCTTCTTGTTTTCCTGACTCATATAATTTGTAATCTTTTAAGCTATCTGTTAATCATTATCTTACTCTTATTAAAAATATCATCATTTCTCTTCCAGTAAGTTTTAACTCTAATAGTGGTTGCTTGCAGCCTTGTTGAAAGTGAAGATGTTGAAAAATAATAAATAATTAAAATAAAAATGCATGCATTATAAAAAATTTAAGATTTAACTGCAGTAGTTTAAATTTTTTTATCGATTATCACTTTAATAAAACAATAACATAAAAAATAAAATTATATAAAGTTAGTAAATTGAAACACTTGTTTTGAAAAAACTACTAGTGGGTATATATCTTCATTACCCAGGATGCAAAGTATACTTTAGACAATTTGTTTACTTTTACTGAAAACTGTAGATTTGTGGGTATGTATGCATGTATGTATTTATGTGTGTGTGTGTGTGTGTGTGTGTGTGTGTGTGTGTGTGTGTGTGTGTGTGTGTGTGTGTGTGTGTGTGTGTGTGTGTGTGTGTATATATATATATATATATATATATATATATATATATATATATATATATATATATATATATATATATATATATATATATATATATATATATGGGGGTTAGCCAGCCTGATGACACCGTATATAAAACATAATTTCTTTAAAATTATACAAAATATAAAGTATTTGGGGTATAAAAATAAAAACTATTGGTTGGGGTAATAATGAAAATTAATTTTTCATAAAAATAAATTAGTTTTTTTTTTAACTAAAGCAATCATAGTATTTTTTTTAAACTACTTTTCACAGACCAAATGAAAGATAACAACATAACAACATAACAACACTGCATACTTTTTTCAAAATGACCAATGTTGCACTTATCATAAATTGGCCAATGATTTATCATTCTTTATAAAACCACTAAAACACAAATTAATAGACTGGATTGTTTTTAAAAACATTCAGAATGTTTTTATTTATTTTTATTTTTTTACTGTCAACATACATTATGAGTGACCATTAGGAAGAATATATGAGAAGTGTTGCAACATTGACTGACAAATAGGTGAAATATGTAAGGAGTGCTGCTACATCAACTGACAAATAGATAAACATGCTAGGAGTGCTGCTACATTGACTGAGGGCTTTGGTTTGGGCATGCAATCTATCGGTTAAAAGAAAAAAAAATTTTAAACTTTTTAATTCTTTTAAATTATCATCACTTTTACTCAAAATTTACAGTTTATGGTAAAAATTAAAGATGACTGAGCAAGAGTATATATATATAAGTTATATATATATACATATATATATAACTTTATATATATATATATATATATATATATATATAAGTTATATATATATATATATATATATATATATATATATATATATATATATATATATATATATATATATATATATATATATATACATAATTTATATAATATATATATATATATATATATATATATATATATATATATATATATATATATATATATATATATATATATATATATATATATATATATATTAAATATATTATATATAAGTTAAATAAAAATCAATCAGCAGAGTTATATAAGAATGATTTAGATTATCTAAGTTCTGCTGGTTACACTAACAACAAATTAGGTAAGGAATTCAAAATTAACTTTGAGCAATTAAAAAAAATTTGGGCAAGTTTTGGACACTCTCCAAATTTAAAAGTCGAGGACTTTTATTTTATTTTAATTTTATTTTGAGTTTTTTTTTTCATGGAATATTTGGCAATGTTTCCATCAATGTAACTTTATGATCTGCATCAGCAGGAGCGGACTGCCACTTAAATTAGTTTCAAAGAAATAAATTAAATTTTTCTTACCAGGACCAGTTTGCCATTCAAGATTTATTGGAAAAGATTTATACTATTTAAAATTGCATCTTTAAAAATATGGTGTAAAAAAAAGCATCATGGGAATCAAAGGAATGAATATTTTTAATCACTTCTCTGAGAGGACAGTTAAAATAGTTGAAGACCTAACAAACAGAGCATATTCTGAAAGGGCACCTTAATCTTTACAAATAACTATAATAAAAACAAAAAAATAAGGAAAAAAATAGATCATGAAAAAGTTGCTAGAACAAATAAAGTCTAGTTTCTAATGCTTTATTGTTTTAAGAGAAAATAGAAAGGATCATAAATTTGAATTTGGATTGTTTTACTTTATTTAAAAAAAATTTTCTGTTGATTTAAACTTTTTTCTACTTTTACAATTTTTTTTTAATTTGAGTAAGAACTGTATGGTTTTGACTACTATTTGACTATTATTTAACTATTATTTAAACTTTTTAATTTTAAATTTTAAATATTAACTATTATTTAAACTTTTTAATTAAAATTATTTATATTATTATTTATTTGACTATTATTTAAAATTTTTTCTACTTTTACAATTTTTTTTAATTTGAGTAAGAACTGTATGGTTTTGACTATTATTAAAATTAATTTTCCTTCCCTGTCAAGTCCTTTTCATGTTTTTATTTTCCATAATAACCACTGAAGCTGATTATATTCGAGAGAGAAATAAAGTACTGAATAAAACGTAAATTGAAAATATAATGTAGTTTTGTGAGTTTTAAGAATGTTTTAAAAATATTTTGTACTTATGTGCTTTGCTAAACATTTATGGATTTTAATGTTTTTTTAAACAATTTTTATAAGTTTACAACCTTTTTCGAAAATAGAGCCTATTTTATTTTGATAAAATAAGTCTTTGTAAGTTTTGTCCATTATATGATAATATGTGAAACTTCTTGCGGAAACAAAGATTACAAACTTTTGATGCTTGATTGTAGGGCTTACATTGTGCTATTATCTTCCATGTAATCACAGAATTTATATGTTTCGATTTTAGCTCCCATATTTCTTTGGAAAGTTCAGTGTCATTTTTATATTTGGGTGCATTGAAAGATTTAAGATGGTTGGCATATCTTAATTTAAATGTGGTTTCACTTATACCGAAATAAACTTTATCTTTGCATTAAGGATCACCAGAACTTACAGTGGCTTGGTATACGCTATTGCTAAAAAGGCATTGGTTATTTAACGGACAAATATTTTTGTCTATACAGTTACATTTTTTTGATGTTTTATTTTTATCACCATGTAAAATTTTGTTATTATGTGCATTTATTAAAGACTTGACATTAGGCATGCAACTATAGCTAATTTTAATATAGTTTCGATTATAAATTTAATGAAGCCTGTGTCCTACTGGAAAGTGTTGGTCAATTAAAGCTAAAAAGCGATTTCCAATTTTAGTTTCAACATTTTTGCTAAACGGGGGGTTGTACCATATAATTTTACGTTTGCGATGTCTTTTTTGATTTTTGTTTATTTGCGGTTGGTAGGTGAGTTTTGAATTGTATCCTGATTTACGTAAAGCCTTTTTATACGGAAGAATTGAATTATTGATTGAACATATATATATATATATATATATATATATATATATATATATATATATATATATATATATATATATATATATATATATATATATATATATATATATATATATAGTCTTCCATGGTAGTTAAAAAGTTTCTTCCATAAACTGCAGTTTTAAAGAGAGCGCTAATAAACCAGACCAGAAAAAGTATAAAAATTGCCCTAACGAAACCCTCAGTTAATGCAGCAGCACTTCTTTACGAGTCAGGCTATAAGATAGTCAAGGTAGCAACAATCCGCGCATGTTTAAACAAAATGTTTTTAACACTATTAGTTAAAAAAAGCTTTCTAGTCATTATTATTGTGGTTTTTTAAAAAACGATTAAAATTAATGTACTTCTGCATTAATTTAATTGTTTTAACTTTTCGACAACAATAAAATGTAGCTTAATTGTCGAAGTAGCAAAATTGTTGTTTAGAGACTTTTTTTACATTAAAAGTCTCTTTCGACTACGAGATAAGGATATATATATATATATATATATATATATATATATATATATATATATATATAGTGATTTTGCCGGTTATCCGTTTCAAAAACCGGATAACAGTTCTCATCAATTTGCAGTTAACTGACTATTTGGTAAATTAGTGACGCTTTCTGAATACAGGATCTTCTAAATTTCAACGAACAAAGCGTTTTAAACTAATTTTTCAAAAATTAATGTTAAAGTGTACATTTTCAAGACAGTTAGTGAATACAGTCCTATATTATATATTTATAACAAAACATGGAAAAAGATATATATATATTTTTTATATTATAATATAATATACCTTTTTAATTATATAATTAAAATAGGTAGGAATAATGTACAAGTATAGTTTAAATGTTTTAATATCAGCGGATGTTTTAAAATCATTTTCTCATATAAAAACATTTGATTTGGAAAAATGAGATGTTATGAAGTAAATTTTTTTAGCATGTATTTTAAAAACTTATTGTTATGCAGACATAGATGGAAACATAGATAAACTTGAATGTTCTCAAAACAACTTGTTGCGTAAAGTTAATATAAAGAATATTTGCTAACACTAAAATACCACTAAATCTTTGAATAAACAAATTCTATTGGTCCAAAAAATACGCTGAATAAGCGAATTAGAGTTCCAGAATATTTTGATGAAACTTTCTTAAAAATGTATTGCTTGAGTTGTAAAAGTAATAAATAAATCTTTGAGATTTCTATTGTAAATTGTTCTAAGAATATATTATTAAACAAAACTGATTAAATTAACATTTAAATTAATAAAAGAAATATATTATAATCTTTAATAAATTAACATTTGTCAAACAATAATCGTCATAATTACGATGTTACTTTCTATAAAATTTTGTAAAATTTTTAAGTCGGTTTTCATTATTCGAAAATAGATATTTGATATTCAAACAAAATCTGGTTAACCGCAAAACTGGATAACCGGCGAAATCACTATATATATATTTATATATATATATATATATATATATTTATATATATATATATTTATATATATATATATATATATATATATATATTTATATATATATATATTTATATATATATATATATATATATATATATATATATATATATATATATATATATATATATATATATATATATATATATATATATATATATACACATATATACAACCCTCGCAAAATCCTTATTGCATTAGTATAACGCAATATTTGACATCATGAAGTTCTTTTTATTTTTTAAAACATCACCTTTTTTAAATTACTGCAAAAACATTAATTACCCCAAAACAAGTTAAATGTTATTTAATGGTTTTTTTTATTATTACTTTAAGGGAATGTTTATTTTTATTTTTATAACATGAAATAATTAAATTTAATATTGCATTTTTAAAAATGTTTGATATTAACAAATTTCATTCTTTTCTTGACATTTGCATAAATGAATAAAAATGAGCTAATTTTTTTTTAAGAACAAATAATATTAAACATTTATGCATTTTTTGATTAAAACTAAATAATGAATGCATACCAATAAAATTAAAATTATTGTTTTAGTCGAAGCATGCCTTCTCCTTTTTTTTTTGGTTCTCAGAGCATGAATAATGTTAGCCGCAATCTACAGACTTTATTCCATGCATGTTTAATTCATAACAGTTTTGGTATATTATGTCATCGCAAATCTTTTTAAGACAGCATTTAAAAAAAATTTTTTTTTAAGTATATAAATATTTTTTCTACTTCAATCAGAAAATCAAATATTTGTATAATTTTTTACTAAATTACAAAAAATATGCACATATATGTATATATATATATATATATTTTTATATTTATAATTTTTTTTACTTGCTTTATTATTAAATTGTTTTAGAGGCAAGCCAAAATCATGACACAGTTATAGATACTTTGTGATTATTAGAGTTCGCAGGCAGTGGAAAAATAAAGGCAGTATGATGCGGTTTCTCGTTTTATATTTAGTTCATATAGTTTAATAGAGTTGTTCGTTTTATGTTTAATTTACATTTAGTTATGGTTTAACTCTTTCACTACCGCAAGCCACTGGTAGCAACTTTGTAGTATGCTTTACAATTTATCTTGTTTTGTATATAAATTTTCATTTAATTAATTCTCTACATAATCAAAAAAAAAAGAACTATATTGTATAATTATAAAAAAGTTATTGCAAAGTTAAAATATCTTGAATAAACCTTGATAAAAAAAATTTGTTTAAATTTAGTTATAAAATAAAACAGTGTTAACACTGCTGTAAAATTTAACTGTTAAGTATTATATGTTAAGTATTTAGTTAAGTAATTACCATTAAGTATTTTGAAAAAAATGTATACTTTTTATTTATTAAAAGAGGTTTGTTTCTGACTTAATGTTTTAGTTACTACTTATAAAAACAACAGTTTTAAGCACTTTGCATTTCTTATAGTTAAATGATGCGTGTTAAAAACTTTATTATTATCGAATTTTAATTAATTGTCAATGTTATGCCATTTAAATTTTATTGAAAAAAAAAAGGTTGTTAAAAAAAAAAATTTTTGTTCGGCTGGTAGCGAACAAGTTAATGCGATTCTTCATTTTTATATTTATATTATAACTATTATACTATAACTATACAAATATTTATTTTAACTTTAATTTCTACGTTTATTAGTAAAATAATAAGTTTAACATTTATTTTCTACTTAGTTTGGTTCATATGCTTTATTCAAGTAGCTCGTTTTTTATTCAGTTTAAATTAATTTATACGCTTTAGTAAAAATATTATTTTAGTATCTAGTTTATATTTAGTTTAAACCTGTACGTTTTACTGAAAATTTTCATTATATATTAAATTTTTATTTTATAAATTTAATTTTTAATTGCATCAAAAACTTTTTTTTGGGATTTGGTAAAAAGTTATATTTAATTAACATGATTTGGTGATTGTGGCAAAAAAATAATATGATATCTTGAAAGAAAAATTTATACGATGATGTCATATACCGAAACTATTATGAATTAAACATGCATGGAATAAATTATCAAGTCTGCAGATTGTGGCTAACATTATACAGACTTCAAGAACCAAAAAAAAAATGGAGACATCGAGCTTCGACTAAAATGTAAATTTTAAAATTAATGGTGTGCATATATATATATATATATATATATATATATATATATATATATATATATATATATATATATATATATATTAGTATATATATATTAGTATATATATATTAGTATATATATATATATATATATATATATATATATATATATATATATATATATATATATATATATATATTTATATATATATTTATATATTTATATATATATATGTACTAATATATATATATATATATATATATATATATATATATATATATATATATATATATATATATATATTATTTAGGTTTGGATTTTATAAAGTTAGATATTTAAATATATTTTAAATCTCTTTTTTAATGATTCGGAAATTATCTTTGGATGACAGATTAGCTGAATAATTACTTGTAATACAGAACATACTGAGTATGAAATATATGTTATAGAAATGCTAGACTATAGCATAAAAAGTTAGATAATTTAAAATGTATATATAATAATGTATGTATATATAAATATATGTAATATAATCTTTTTTTAAAATAAAAAGATTAAAATGATTTAAGTCTAGTTATATAAAAAGAAGACATAAAATAGAAATTAAATAAAAACATTTTAGCAAATGCTGAGAATTATTGTAAAAAAAAAACAACTATTGAGGCTAAAAATTAGTTAAACAAGGTGGATATAATGTTAATCCTAAAACTCTAAGTTGCATTTAAGATAACCTGTTTTATGATTTTTTATCTCAATTGTTTCAGTCTTAGAAATATTCATAGTATTCGAAATAACATTTCATCAGTTAAAACTTACATCTTGCAAAATTAACCAGACTAACTCGCTCTTTGTAACTTGTTTTTTTTTTCTTTGTTTAATTTAACTAACTTGAATTTAACTGATCTGAATTTGACTTCAGATCTCAGTGTTGATGGACTTCATCTTCAAATTTCAGTGATGATGGACTTTATCTTCAGATCTCAGTGTTGATGACTATTATTTTTTGATTGACTCCAATAGTCGCATGCTTGGCCTGGACATATACTTGGGCATCAATAACCTACTTGCCATAAAATTAGGTTTGAATCCTCGAACCATTCTTTTATGTGTTTCATTTTTTTTACTAAATCACTATTTTTAAATCATTATAGCCCTTTTTTACTCAATCAAACTTTACTCTGTTTTTTTATTGTTCTCCTTTTTCTTAAGATATTATTTCATATGTAATTTCTGATCAAATTAATCAATCCCCTTCTCCTTATTACTCAGCCAATATTATTTTTATTGGTATCTTCAATGCTCACCACACTAAACGTTCTGACACCACTAACCCTGTTGGCACTTAAGCTCATATCTTCTGTACTTCTCAATCTTTTACACAGAGTTAAGTTATGACTCTAATTGATTTGTACTCTTCTTTGACTCTAGCTCTTTTCTGCATCTTCTTGTTTAGGCATTTCCACCAATGCAATGATTTCTATTATTCTCTATTATAGGTATTATTATTTATATATTGTTTCCATTATTTTGTTTACTATCTCATATTTTATCTCAGAAGGTTAGGTTCTAGAGACTTCAACAGTGTCATTAGTAAACAGTGTCATTAGTAAAGTCCAACATTCCATTTCTAATTTAAGGATCTGATTACCTCTCCAAAGGATAAGACAGAACTGTTTGCAAAGAACTTTCCCTCTGATTTAAATTTTAAATCTAATGGCCACACTCTACCTGTCATTCCAGAGATACAAGGTAAAACATGGTTAAACACCCAAATCCCTCCCACATCAATCCATCAAGTTATTTCTCTCTTAAATTTATCTTGATAAACTTTCTTTAATACTATTCTAACTATTTAGTACCAAACTGAATCTGGTTTCCCTGCCTGCTGGAAAATGGCATCTGTGGTCATAAATTTTAAAAAATCTAGAAAACACTATGACACCTTTAACTACTGTCCGATCAGTTTTCTCTCAATTATTATAAAAATCTTCAATAACTCATTAATAAAATGATTAAGAAAATCTAAATTACCTGCTTTGTAATTGGCACACTTTGTGTTAGATTCAGCAACAATTGGAATATTATTTAGAATCGTATGTATATTATCAGAATCATTAATTTTTAGAGACTCTTTAAATGACAAACTATCTGTACAAACATCTCTGGAATCAGATTGACTGATTGAACCTAAAGACAAAAGTTTAAAGAATCCTTTTAAATAGAGAAAATAACAAACTTTAACACAATGATGTAGTCAAAAAATCATAATTAATTAAACTATGTAGTAAATGCTAGGGCTTAGAACTTGAATATATTTATTAAATACTATTTGAATAACTAAACAAATATTTAAAATTTGATATTCAAATACTATTTATCATTATAGGCCAATACTTAACATTTAATCTTAATTTTTAATTTATCTTTAAAAAATGATATATTTCATAAGATGTTAATAATTCTAAAACATGTCGATTACTTATGCTAGTGGAATTAAAATTACTTTTTGCTAATCTATCTACTGACCTATAAACATCCGTTTAAAAGTGATGTGCCTTCAACTCAGAGATATCAGAGATAGCAAATAGTTTCATATAGTACATTACTATATGGAACTATTTGCTATCTCACTACGACATACAATTTTTAAAAGAGATCCAACTTAAATAATAACATACTTTACCTAACAAATATCTAACATTTAAAAAAAGCACACTTTTCTTTTTTTTTTCTTTACAGCCTTTTTTTTCAAGCTCAACATTTTTCTTTACAGCCCTACTAAGTTGTAATTCTGTGGTACTTATTAAAAGCACAACAAAAAAAAAATATTTAGTGTTATTTTAAAGAATTTACAAAAAGTAATAGTAAGACCAATTCGATTTATATGTTGTACCCCTGTAGTTTGATATGTTGTACCCCTGTAGTTTTATATGTTGAACCCCTGTAGTTTTAGATTTTAGACTTTAGTATTAGCAGTTTTTGTACTAGATTCCGTTGCACATAATTTTCCATTGCCATTTCCTTATTTAAATATAACATAAAGGCTTTTTAAAAGTGGATCCCTTTCGTAGTTTTAACCTGAAGAAATACACTGTGGTTATTCCATATAAAATCACCTATTTTTTCAAAAGTGTCCCAGGGTATAACCTCAAATTTGCTTCAAATTTTGATCACCCTCAGTTCTTATGAAAAAAACACAATTCTGAAATATTCAACCTGATTGACCAAACTGTTCAAAAAATTTGAATTAATATTGACCAAAATTGGAAAAATTTGAGTATCCAGAGCTTACAGTAGATTTTTTTTCACAAAAAAAAAAACAAAAATGTTTAAAAAAATGCGGTAGTCTTTTTAAAATACTAATTTTTGATAATTTTATGCTCTAATTAATAAGTCAAGTTAAAAAAAAGGTTTTTAACTTTTTTAGTCATAAAAATAGGAAAAAATAAACAAATCAAATGCGCCTGCGATATAAATAAAATAAACTGCCAACAATCCATTTTAATTTGAGCATTACAACTTTATTAACAAGCGCTTCACGTAACGAATTTAAAAATTATTATAAATGATTTAAACTCATTCATTCCTAACCAAATAATTATAAAAAAAAAAAAAAAATTTTGAATAAAATGTTTGTTTAAGAGATTTTAAAAATTCGTAAGTTTAATTATAAAAATTAATTGTATGAACATTACAAAATGCATCAAAATGTTTCAATTAATCAACAAAATACATGCTTATATAAGTAAATAAAGTTATTTTAAATTCTTGTATAATTCACATAAAATGTGTAAAAGCTATTACTCACAAAAGGTTTTGAAAATAAATTAAAGTAACTTAAAAACATTCTTTCTAAAAAAAATGATTTTTAGAAGACATGGAAGAATAGTTTCAAACGCTTAAATTTATCATAAAAAATACATGCCAAAATAAAAAAAATTTATATATAACAATTTTTATTAATTTACACATGCGTTTATATAAACAATCATTATAATTAATTTAATGGTTTTATTTAAAGCCTTTGCATAAAATAAAAGATCAACGATTAAAAGTTAATCATAACATAACACTTTTTTTATTGTGTTTAAATTGTTAAAACATCAAAATAGCTGTTATCAAGAAAAAAATTATAAAGGGATTGTGTCAGCATATCAATAGCAGATCAACTAAGGATCAAACCTGGTCAAAAGTTTTGTGCTAACTGTATGAATGAATTCAAACTTGAAAAAATTACAGAAGTTAGTAAAGATGAAGCTGCTGACAAAGGTTTTAGTTGTTTAGATCTTGATAAGATAGTTCTTAGTAAGAGTGTGTCTTTATTGGAAATGTCTCTACTCAAAAATGTAAGTAGGCGCAACAAATTTGCAGTCTTCTCCGAATATAAATAATAAAAAACTTCATAAACAAAAACATTTAACATTAGTTCGATTGAAGGAAATTTATCTTGAGTTTAAAAAGTTATACCCTACACACAAAGTTGGATTCAGCAAGTTCTGTGAACTAAGGCCGAAGTGGTGCATCACAGTTGCAAACTTTGGAATTAGGGTTGGCATTTGGCAATGCAGATCTAACTGCCGACTTAAAAGTGTTTTATGGTCAAACCTTTGTTTTACCTTTTTTCTGCCGACCTGATGTTGACCTCACACAGATTATTTTTAATTAATTCCGAGGGCTACAGTTGACAGTAGTGGAAATCACTCAGTTTGTGTATGTTCTTACCACCCAAATGCTAAGTTGATGCGTTCTGCTATACCTAACGGCCATTTAATATATTACAAAGATTTGATGAAAGTATGTGTTTGTAATGTAGATAGTCAAAACTGCATGTTTCATCTATGTTCCAACAGTCCCTGTAAAGTAATTTTGAAGACTTACTTGGACAATGTGTTAGTAAATAATGTATTTAACGATCAGATCCCATACAAACATTAAGTGTCAACTTACCAAACTGCAGTTGTTACAGTCCAAACAAGCATTATTGAGTTTTTTGAAACTCTAAGGGAAACGTTATATGAACTTTGTCACCACCGCTTTATCAAAGAAGCACAATCCTTCTACTTATCAGAAGCAAAAAGAACATTAGATCAACACACTTGTTCTATTCTTATGGATTTTGCAGAGAACTATAGTTTTCTTGCGCAAGACGCTGTACAAGGGTTTTACTGGTAAACCAATCAAGCTACCTAACATCCATATGCTGTTTATTACAAAGATGAAAAAAATCAATTTAAATGTGAATGCTATTGTACAATTTCTGACCATCTTCGCCATGACCAAACAATTAACTGTTGTTCATTGTTTTCTAACAAAGTTATTCTTTGATCAAAATCAAACTACCCACAACCGATAAAGTAAAACACTTCAGTGATGGTACTGTGTTACAATACAAAAATTACAAATATCTGTTAAACTTTATGTACCATTTGAAAAACACAATATAAATGCTGAGCATCACTTCTTTGCTACATCCCATGGTAAAAGTCCATGTGATGGAATAGGGGTAACTATAAATAGAGAAGCAGCAAAAGCGAGTCTATGAGCAGCAAATACAAACCAGATTTTCACATCAAATGAACTGTTTACATGGGCTAAAAAAAAATTAAAGGTGTTAACATATTTTACATTAATATTTATTTAACTTATTTTGACCTAAAGAAAGAGATGAGCACAGTCCAAGGGGCAAGAAGCTATCACAGTTATGTAACATGTGGAGAGAAATTATTTTTATGGAGAATCTCTAGCAATACTGTCTGATACTCATTTGCTGAATAATATTAACCTGGCAAAAAAAGATCCTTAAAACTTTCAACCTGGTAAATATATTGCATGCTTTTACGATGATAAATGGGTTTTGTGCTTGAAATTTGTAATGAAAATCAAGATGTTGATATAAAGTTCATGCATAAAAACAAATTAAATTTAAAATGGACTAATGATGCACAATCAAGTCAGTGTTGGGTTCCATTTAACAAATTAATATGTCAGATAAGTGCTCCAGCAAATTAAGGGTAGAAGTATTCGCAACTACAAACTTGCTAATAGTGATTATGACAGTATTATGAGTTATATAAATCAGAGATAAAGAAATTAGTGTACTTGTGTTTCAAATGTATATACCCCTCTTATTTCAGCATTTTTATTTTTTTGAAACATAATATAACTTGCACTATTAGGTATCCTTTTAAACTAAAAAAGCATTGCATTTAAAACGCTAAAATTATGTCATAAAATAGAGTATAGATCTTTAAATTTTTTTTTTTATATTTGTCTAGATATAGAACCTTGCCAGTAAAAAGTTTCATAATTTATTTTTGAACAGTTTGGTCAATCAAATTGAAATTTTGAGGTTTGTATTTTTTTCATAAACACTGTGGTTGGTCGAAATTTGAAGTGAACTTGAGGTGGTACCCTGGGTATCATTAGGTGATTTGTTATGGAATGACCCACTGAGTATTTTTATTGTTATACTACCACTACGAAAATTACCACCAAAGGTATATAAGCTACTCAATTATTTACTACTTTTAAATTATGGTTTTATATCAGAGATTTTTTTCCATTAGTAAGTTTTGCCTTCAGCATAACTAAAGACCCTTATCTGCCCTAATAAAGGGTCTGTTTAACGTCAAACATCAAATTTCAAACACAAAATAATATAAATATAACCTGAAGCATTAAACAACTTATAGTTTAGTTACAACATTTGTAAATAACATAATAAAATAGTTCAAAATTATAAAACATTACAATCTGTTGACTCTAAAACACGTTCATTTAATCTTCCTTTTGGCTTAAACTGAAATGACTTTGTCAAAGTCATGAATGCTGTTGTTAAAATTTGTGTCTCAGAGCTAGTAATAAGTAACATGTCTAAAATTGAATTAGTTGCAGCATGTTCTTTTAATACTTTACAAAATGTTTGAATATACGATAAACCACCATTGATTTGATGGCAAGACACAGGATCTAAACAAAGTTTTTTAAAAATTTAAAAATGTCTGAGGCAAAAAAAAAAGGATGAAAAAAAAAAAATAATAAAAAAGAAGAAATGTTACAAATATACAATCTGATTCCTTAAAAAAAAAAAAAAAAAAAAAGTCAAAACACTCAAGTATAATCACAATAAAAGATGATTAAATAAAAAAAAAGAGATTGAGATGATTATGATTGAGGAGATTTAGATTGATTATGTTTGAGATGATTATGGTTGAAATAACTAACTAAAAAAAGATGATTACGATTGAGATGATTATGGTTGAGATGTATATTATTGAGATATTAAGATGATTATGATTGAAATGATCAACTAAAAAAAGATGATTAGGATTGAGATGATTATAATTGAGATGAATATGGTTGATATGATTATAAATGAGATGACAATGATTGAGATGATTATGATTAAGATGATTAAGACTAAGATGAATATGATCGAGATGAATATGATTAAAATGATTAACTATAAAAAGATGATTGAAATTGAGATGATTATGATTGAGATGATTATGATTGAGATGATTATGATTAAGATGATTATGATTAAGATGATTATGATTAAGATGATTATGATTGAGATGAGAATGATTGAGATGATGATTACTAAGATGATTATGATTGAGATGAATATGATTGAGATGATTAACTAAAAAAGAGGATTAAGATTGAGATGACTATGGTTGAGATGATTATAGTTGAAATGACAATGATTGAGATGATTTAGATTAAGATGATTATAATTGAGATCATTATGAATAATATGATTATGATTGAAATTATCAACTAAAAAATGAAGATTAAGATTGAAACTATAATGATTGAGATGATTATGGTTGAAGTGAAAACTGATGATGAAAAATGAAACTAAAATAAGATGATTGCAATGATTATAATTGATATGATTCTGGTTTAGATGATTATGAATGAGATGATTATGAATGAGATAAAATGATTGAGATGATTATGACTGAGATGGTTATGATTAAGATGATTATGATTGAGATAAAAATGATCAAGATGATTATGATTAAAATGATTATATATGAGATGACTATGATTGAGAGGATTAAATAAAAAAGATGATTATGATTGAGATGATTATGATTAAGATAATAATGATTGAAATGATTATGATTAAGATGATTATGACTGAGATAATTACGGTTGAGATGAATTTGATTGAAATAATCATATAAAAAATATGATTATGATTGAGATGATAATGATTGAGATGATTATGATTGAGATGATAATGATTAAGATGATTATGATTAAAATGAATATGATTGAAATGATTAAGTTATTCCTAATCACTGTGCAACAAAACAGTTGTTGCACAGTGATTAGGAATAACTTAAAATTAGGCCAAAATCAATTTTATTGAAAATATTTATTTATAAATGCTGAAAATTCACCTAATGATGCATAAATGATAGACAAGAAAAGACTATACATTTATAAAATAGGGTCAAATATGGATATTTTTTTTATATCATAGAATTACAAGAAACTGTAGAAAATAGTTAGCTCAAAAAACTATATTTTGGTCAAATTTTAAATGATTCTAAACCACTGTGCAGTGAAACAATCTTTGTAAAAATGTTTTAAAATGCTAAATATTTTATTGTTTGTTAAGTTTAACAACTGCAATTTTATAACTTTAAAATATAAAAGAATATAAAACTTAAAAAAACAAAAAATTTATTTACCTGGATTATGAACTACAAAAATACCATAATCCGCATTTTCAGCCAAACTTATTTCATTATGTAAAACTTCTTTTTCATCACCATCACCCTGACAGGCTTGAATAAATAAAACTTTTTGTATATCCTTCAGCCCATTAACAGGATTTTTATTGATGGCAGTTTGCATATCATTAAATGTTAATTTTTCTCCATCACTTGCATAAACACCACCATTAAAGCCATGTGATAAAAAAAAACACACAAAACTATTAACCGTTAGCAGATTTTTACAATCATTTTTTTGCAAAATATCTAGTGTTTCAAGTTTATTTTTGTTTTTATGAATTTCAACATCATAATTTACCAATAAAGCTAGTTTTTTTAGCTTCTTAACATCATATTCAGTACCAATTCGCTTTGTTAATAATTTATTATCCTCAGATCTTTTTTGTTCGTTAAAGTCATTATCAAAAATCCACATAATTCCAACTTTTGCATTGCTATGAGGCTGAGTACCTAAAAAATGATTCTATTATAAATCATAAAAAGCTGAGCAACTAAAAAATGATTCTATTATAAATCTTACAAGACTGAGTAATTAAAAAATTTTTATTATAAATCTTATGAGGTTTTATTATAAATCTTATTAGAAAAAAAAAATTCTATTATTAATCTTAGTAATACTGTTTCTGCTAAATATTACTAAATGTATAAACAATAATAATATATGTATATAAACAATTGAATTAACAATTTCAAGTTTAGGAATATAAATTAGATTTTTTGATATTAACACTATTTTATACTATTTTTATTTTCACTTTTATTTTCTCCTTAATTTAACTACTTATTAACCTGGATTACTTAAACTGACATCATTGTTTACTGATATCAATTATTTATTTCAACTTTTTTTTTCTATAAATTTTATTTTATTTTCAAAACCGAGTGTAGCCATAGATGTAGTACAGGCCTTGCGATAAAGCGCCGGGCGATGTGAATTTTACGTCGCCCAAGAGCAATTTTGCGTGTAGCTAGGGCTATTTGCGTAGAGCAAAAAAATTTTTGTTTGAGTATATTTAAAGATATTTTTAAGCGGAATTTTAATGAAGTAATTTACGATTATTTTAACTTTTATTAAAGTATTTTAAAAACCGCACGCAGTTGATATAAAAGTTTGAATTACAAAAAAATTAAATATGCTCATTATTTACAAGTAGAAAAAATTCAGATTAAAAAAAAAGTTTAAATCTTTTTAAGCTAACATTTTAATAAAATTATTCAGCAATAGCAAAGTTGTTAATAAATTGAACAAAAATACTTTCTTTTAGTTTTAGATTTTTAACTTAAATAATTATTTTACGGGGGTTTGTTAGGTTTTAAAATTATTCCATAGATTTAAAAATATTTATTAACTGTTAGACGTATTTAAAGTATTTAAGAGTAATTTCGAGGAAACAATTTAAAAATTGGTGAGGGCAAATAAAAAAATAAAAAAGGATTAATATTAAAACGTATTCTACTTGATTCAATAAAAAAGTACAGCTATTAAAATTTTTGTAAAAAGTAACTCGAAAAAAATAACTTAAATAATAACAATTGCTTGTTTGTTAAAAGTTACCAAAACTCAACGAAGAGTGCTCTAGAACAGCTGCTGAAAAATAGAACATCAATAGTTTTTCGAATAATTTTTATTAATAATTTTTAATAATAATTTTTTCGCTAAAATATGTCTTTTATACCTAAAAGATTTTTATTCTAACATTTTATTTTATTTTACCAAAAATAAAATTCCTTGTAAACATTAAAAATCTATTCAAAACGTTCGTTAAAGTTTTTTAGTAATACGAGTGATTGTGCTTATCAACATGAAAATAAATAAAAATAAATAAATATATAAAATCGCTAGTAAAAATATTAGCTATTGCACAGTTTTTAATCAAACAATATTAAAATTTCCAGTTTATTAATCGCTGACTTTTTAAAAAGAAAAAATAATTATTTGAAAAACTTTAAATTACATATTTGAGAAAATCAAATATTAGCGTATTTTATAATCTTTTTTAAATGTTTAGTTATGCTTTTTATTCGTTTAGTAGACAAAACGCGTCAAACGTTGAGAAAATAAACCAATGTTTCTACATTTTAAAAAACGAAACATTCCAAAACATTTTTAAATAATAACATTTCTACATTAATGATTTAAAGTAGTTTTGCGGTAATTAAGTAAATTGGTGCAGTTAATGTCAATAAATATGAAAAGCAAATAAAAAGAATTTAATGACGTCAAAAATCACGATTTATTTCAGTCTATTTATATTTCTCTATATCTATATATATATATTTCTCCAAGGGAAAATAATAAGGAATATAAAAATTAAGAAATTTTTTTCTGGAATTTGTCAAAAGAGTGTTGTCCTATGCTTAAATAGGTATCTTAATATGTATTTATTAGAAATTTTTCATTTTGTTCTTAAATGGTTTCTTCTTTTTCATTACTTTAGATTAATATATACTGACTGATACAACTTAATTTTTATTAACAATGTTGGGGATTGTAGTCTGCATTCTTTGTTACATTAAAAATAATTGAAGCTAATAAATATTGATTTACAGTTGTTAAAAGTTTGCATATATGTTTATATTATGCTCGAAGTTAAAAAAGTTTTTGATAAATACCTGTATTTGATGATATATGTTATATAGTTGTTTATATAAATGTGTTTTTATAATAGTATGAAATGTATTTTATCTAATGTGTATATGATTGTTAAATGAGGTGATATATGTTATATAGTTGTTTATTTAAATGTGTTTTCATAATAGTATGAAATGTATTTTATCTAATGTGTATATGATTGTTAAATGAGGTGTTTTTATATGTTATATAACATTAAAAAATATATATTGTGTTTTATAGTTAGTATATATTTTTATATAATGTTGTTTCCATTTCAAAGTGGTGTGACTTGGCAAACATGTAGAGATGTATTTTTCATTCTTACCAGTCAAGCACTGCTTTAGATTTAAGTGTTGTCTAGCCTTTTATATAACTATATTGAAAATACACAACGTTATCTTTGATATTTTTTTGCATAATGTTGTTTTTGCATAATCTTTGGCTTATCTTTATGTTGGTAACTGTTGTTTAAAAAATGATTAAGAGGTAGTTTCATTCACGAGTTCAAAATGTTTAATTAAACATTAAGTAGATAATGTTTAGTAGCTTAAAATTATAGGTAATATATAACCTTTTTAAAATTTTATTAACTAATTTATTGTAATCTTTTTTTAAGTTGCACTTTTAAATTTAAAGCTTCATGTATAAAATATAGATCTAAATATAATTTGCGCAATGAATACTATTATTATTATTATTAGTATCGTTTCACTTTCATTTTTAAGGTAGTTTCTAGACTTTTCTTTACATGGTTATATATTCCACGCGGCCTTTCGAGCAAGGTCTTCAAGCAAATTAAAGCTGATATATTTTTAGTTTCATGAAGAAATGATGTTGTTCATTGTTTAAAAACTAAAATAAAAATTTAAATAATCTTTTGTTTGTTGTTGGTTGTTTTTATTTTTCTAATTTTTATAACCTGTGTTCATTTTTTAGAAGAAGTTATAACTAAAATGACTGGCAAAATAAGTATTGTTTTATTTTTTAGAGCAGTTAAGAGGAGCTGATGGCTTTTTTAGTAAGTTCAATTCATTTTCTTATTTATAGATTAAGATTATTTTTTGTAGAAAGAATAATGAGAATAAAATTTTATTTATGTATCTTAATATAATTTGCGTAGTGTATTTTATTATTATTATTATCAGTGCACATAGTTATGCCTATTGTTTTACAGTTACAGTAGGGTTCTGAATTTTGTAAAATACACTTTTTAAGTAGTTTTTTTACTTTTCTTAACAGCGTGCTCTCTTAAAGAAGTCGCAACCTTTCATAGTACGAGTTTAAAATGTCTAAGTAGAAAATGTTTTGTAGCTTAAATTTATAGGTAATATAAAATCTTTTTAAAATTTTATAAGTAATTAATTTATTATAATCTCTTTTAAATTGTACTTTTAAATTTAAAGCTTTGTGTTATAGATGTTAATATTGAAAATATAGATATTACTATGGTGTCTACCGTTAAAAGATATTTATGGGTAGTTTCATGCTTTCACATGCTTTTAATAATTGGAATAAAAGCCATGACAACATTTTGTTATAAATAAAATTTATCTATAGTATTGTTAATACTTTGGCTCTTTGAAAAAAAATATGTTTCTGGCTTTCAATAAATATATAACAACTTGTCTTGCATTAATGAATTTTGGTTTAGGATATAATTGTGTTATTATATGTTTGTTTTTCTGTACTTAATATAGCATTTATCATTTGGATACATTTTTATTTAAGTTTAATTGTTTATAATTTATTTAGATTATTAGAAAATTCATGTTTATAGAGTTGTTATTTAATAATAATCTAGTTGTTAAACCAAGGAAATTGTAGAGGTTTATTTATCAATATATACTATAAATTATATAATAATATTGGAGGGAGTAAGTTTTTAAATTTTTAAAAAGAAATAAAAATACTTTTTTTTTTATTTTATTTAAAAAAAAATAAAATAAAATAAAAAAAAAGCATTTTTAAATTTTTAAAAAGAAATAAAAATACTTTTCAATATATCTGTTTTCTTTGAGGTAGATTTAAAGTTTCAGGTTTTCAAAATTGTAGATCTTTTCAATGTCTAAGTAGACATTAAGTATATATAAAATCTTTTTAAAATTTAATAAGTAATTATTTGTTTAAATAAGTAATTAATTGTTTATAATTTATTAAGATTTAAATTATTAGAAAATTCATGTTTACAGATTTGTTATTAATCATAATCGAGTTGTTGAACCAAAGAAATTGTAGAGGTTTATTTATCAAATATATACTATATATATTATATAAAAAATTTAGATCTTAAAGCTGGGCTATGTAATGGAACCCGAATGAAAGTTTGTGCTCTCCAAAACAATTATATTGATGCAGAGGTTTTGACAGGTCTTTCTGAAGGTAAACGGGTATTTGTTCCTCGAAGTCAGTTAGCTCCATTTTACTGACTACAACATATTTCGTCAGTTTCCTGTCAGATTGGCTTATTTGATGACAATCAATAAAAGTCAAGGTCAAACATTTGATAGAGTTGGGGTATATCTAAAAAAAACGTGTTTCTCCCATGGTCAACTATAAATACGACATTTTTGAACTGGTTGCATTATTGCCCAACATTTTTATTAAAATAAAAAATGTTGCATGTTTAACCCTTTTTAATTTGCTCATTTTTTTTTTAACATCTTCTGTTTCAAATGAAAATGGTGAAGTTATGCTAGTTTTTTTTTAAATAAAATTGCAAAGGTATTATTTTTATTATATTCTTCTATTTTTAACTTTAGATTCCTTAACATTCGAAAACTACAGAACTTACCGCTCCCAACACCCGGGACCTCTCTCAGAGAGGACCTTCAACAAA